GAAGGAAGTGCGGGACAGATCCCTACTCCCTAAAGTGCCAGCGACCAGGACCCCACAGTTAGACCCTATTATGAAGTCGGAGGCTTCAACTACTACTAAGGCAGCCGCTGGCACCTCTGACCTCACTCTTGGAGGCCCACCACAAGGGAGATAAGCTGGATCGAAAAGAAGTGATCCAGGGAGTGAGGTCGGGCATTCAACTAGTTGGTAATGCCAATGCCCACCTCTCACACCTCCGGAGAGAGAGGGTCGTGAGCGACTTCAATAAGTCCTTACTCCCATTCGTTGGAGACAATAGTAATTTTAAAGATGCGGCACCCCTTTTGTTTGGCATGGAGTTTGCCAAGAAGGGGAAGGATCCTCTCTACCTAAAAACAAGGAGCGAAAGCCTCCATTTTTCGTGGAGCCCCCACCTCGGCAACCGGGGGCTTCAGCCGCAGATACGGAAGAGGCGGAGCCCAAAGATTCTGTTACAACAGGGAGAGGCCGTACCAAGGAGGGAAAGGCCAATCCCACACACAGAAGAGGACTCGAACCTTGTTCGCTTATATGATTTTGCCAAAAAGAAATTTATCAGAATGTGTTGGTAACACAAATGACACAACTGGGTGTAGCCCCAGTAGAGGCAGACAACCTGCCAGTGGAGGAGGTACAGGAACTTCTAGGCAAAGGAGCCGTAGTGGAAGTACACCAGGGTTTTAATCAAACTTGTTCCTGGTCCCGAACAAGGACGGAGGACAGAGATCAGTGATAAACCTGAAAGCTGTGAAAAGTTTTGTTCACACAGAACATTTCAAGATGGAGGGAGTCCATACCTTGAGGGACCTAGTCAATCCGGAGGATTGGTTGGCAAAAGTGGACCTGAAGGACGCATATTTTGCGATCTCGATCCACCAAGTCCACCACAAGTGCTTGAGGTTCATGTACCAGGGAAAACACTATCAGTTCCAGTGCCTCCCATTTGGCCTGTCATCGGCTCCCTGGGTCTTTACCAAGACCCTGAAGCCAGCACTAGCTCTCCTCCTGGAGATGGGGGTACGACTGATAACATACATAGACGACATCCTTGTCCTGGCGGAGTCCCAGGAACAAGCAAGGAGCCACGCAGAGGCAGTTGTGTACCTCCTGCAATGTCTAGGTTTCTAGATAAACCAGGAAAAAATCTGTGCTAGAGCCAGCCCAAGTGATGGAATTCCTGGGCCTGACAGTAGACACAGTCCAAATGGAGTTGAAGCTCCCAGTTGACAAGATAAAAAAGATCTGTGCGGAGTCACGGGCCATGATGAGGGAGGAGCAGGTCTCAGGAAGAGCCCTTGCTCGGCTTGTGGGGAAGATGAATGCGACATCACAAGTAATCCCACCAGCGCCACTCTTCATCGCCACTTACAGATGGCCCCGGCGACCACACTGAATTAACATTCCCAGTGCTACGAAGCACAGGTTCCCCTGACAACGGAGTGCAGGGAGGAACTGATGTGGTGGGACACCCACATGATAAATTGGAATGGGAAGTCCCTCCTCAAGAAGGAAGTGGATGTGACAATAGATTCAGACACCTCTCTGACAGGTTGGGGAGCAACCAGTCAGAACCAGAGGACCAGAGGTCCGTGGTCACAGGCAGAAAGCAGATTGCACATAAACTTCCTGGAAATGCTTGCCGCAACACTAGCAGTCAAGACATTCCTGAAAAACAAATCCAGGATGTCAGTACTCCTCAGATTGGACAATACCACGGCAGTGGTATACATGAACAGCCTGGGGGGAACAGTCTCCAAGGATCTGGTGGACTTGGCAAAGAGCCTGTGGATGTGGTGCCTGGAAAGGAATATCCACATCATAGCCCAACATCTACCAGGTGTCCAGAACGTAGTAGCCGATGCGGAGTCTCGGACTATGATAAATCGGTCAGACTGGCAGCTGAATCCTGTGATATTCAACAGGATCACGGATCACACACCTTTTCGGTCCCATAGAGATGGATTTGTTCGCATCTCGTCTGACGGCGCAGTGCCCAGCCTTTTTCAGCTGGCGGCCAGATCCCTATGCAGTGGCAACAGATGCCTTCCTGCAGGGCTTGTCTCAAATCAAGGGGTATGCCAACCCAGCTTGGGGTCTGATAGGTCGAGTACTGTCCAAAGTACAAATGGACAGGGCTCGCATTGCTCTGGTGGCACCAGTCTGGAAGACACAGCCATGGTACCCCCTACTTTTGCAAATGCTAATTGCAATACCATGTCTACGGTCAGATAATGCTGAACAGAGGTCCGGAGGATCTCGTCCTTCAGCTAGCCGCATGGCATATCTCAGGGAGAGATACCGAGACCAAGACCTTTCGGAGGAAGCTACCTCACTCATGCTCAGGTCCTGGAAGACTAAGACCAACAAATCTTACAACTCACTCTTTGGTAAGTGGCATAGCTGGTGTTATTCAAGGGGTTCGGAACCATTTTCAGACCCTATAAAGAAAGTTGTCAACTTCCTGGCACACCTACATGAAGAGGGTTATCAGTATCGATCCCTCTACCATCTCATCGGTGCATGAGAGAGTAGATGGCTACACAGTGGGGCAACACCCCCTTGTTACAAGATTGATGAGAGGTGTCTTTAATGATAGACCCCCACTGCCTCGGTAGTCATGTACATGGAATGTACAGACAGTACTGTCATATATATCATCATGAGGCAGCAATGACTCCTTGGCATTGAAACAGTTGAGTTGGAAAACAGCAATGCTACTAGCGTTGACACGCCCCTCTAGGTCAGCTGGTCTCTCTCAGCTATGCTTAAATGAGAAGCAGTATAAGCCAGAAGGTGTGACTTTCAAAACAAGCAGTTTGGCTAAGCAATCTAGACAAGGGAAACCAATAACGGAGTTTTTCTCCCCTTCCTTCCCACATGACCCCGGATTATGTCCACAGTTGTGACTCTAAAGCCCTATGAGGCCCGTACAGCTCCCCATAGGGGAGGTGAACTGAGGTAATTTCTGGCTCTCTTAAGCCATACAAAGCAGTTACATCTAGCACCATAGCTCGATGGCTTAAGTCTCTGCTGTAAGCAGCAGGAATTGATACCCCTGTGTTTAGTGCCCACTCTGTACGAGGGGCATCATCCTCAGAAGCTGCAAGCTTGGGGATTACGACTAATGATATACTAAAGGCTGCGGACTGGAGTTCTGAGTCTGTTTTTTAGAGGTTTTATTACAACAGAAGATCCCTCATTTGGGAGGACAATGCTCTTACCACTGATACTAGGCACTGAGTGGTCTCGTTGAGAAGGAAGAGCGGAGCTCTTGATCCTTGAGTAATGGAAGAGCGAAGCTCTTGAACTTGGCAAAGAAACCCATGGGGAAAGCCTAGTAAGCTTGCTACAAACAATACCGTTGATATGGAGACCGAGCCTACCGAAATACAATTCGAGAATGGCTCAGACCACGCAGTGGTTGCAAGCTATGCAGAGTTGTATGAGGAAGGTGAGGTTTCCCTCCCACCCTCCCTGTGTTTAACTCAGGGTGAAAGAGAAGGAGTATAAGCTAAGGGGTTGGGTTATGCTGCTGGTTTGCAACAGGTGAGGAGAAAGACCATGCAGTATGAGGAGCTAATCCAAAGGCCAAGGTTGCAAGGAATTGTGGGGCTTTTATAGTTGTACGACACACCCCGGGAATGTGGAACTACTAAACTTAGCTGTTTGAGCAAGAAAACTGGCCATACACCGTTGATATTTCAACCTCACCTTTCTCATACAACTCTGAATAACTTGCAACCACTGCGTGGTCTGAGCCATTCTTGAATTCAAGGAGACGCTAATCAGCTCTGCATAGAAAGTGTAGCTAGCACCAGAGAGACACTTAAATTGTTGGCTCTGCCGGCTAGCTGTCACGCAAAAGTAGGCAGGGTCGCTGAGTGTTTTTCGCACAGCTAGTGTCCGTGTGTGCTGGAGCTGCAAGCTAGGTCTCTGCAGTCATGCGCCGCTACCTGCTAGAAGATTGAGTACGTGGTTTGTCGTGAGAAAGAACCACTCCAGAAGCTCCATCTTCCGTCCGCACGCTTTGTGTCTTTCGAATTGAAGGCGTTGTTGCCATGGCTCTAGGCGCCCATTCTTGAAAACCACGCGATTTAGAAAGCCTCTGGCCATCCAGTAGCGTCTTCGCAGGTGCTCGGATAGCTACAACCCGAGGGCCCGCGGCCTAAATCCGCGTGGTTTCCTCGAATCGGCGCCTAACTTATATTTAGAAGCTTCTGTAAAACATCTTCGGTAGTATATGGTGCTCCCCCCCCCTAAATAAACCCCTGATGATGTTGACATGTGGAAGACTAGATTTTGTGAAACAGTCTTGAAGTAGCCTGACTCTCCCTCTGAATTACAATAGGTTTTGCTGGAAACAAAAAGCACTAAAGTGTAATAAATTATTTATAATATATAATACATAATCCTTAATGAAAAGGCACCCATGGTGCTAGGATGAGACATGCAGAAGCTCCATCTTCCGTCCGCACGCTTGGTGTCTTTCGAATTGAAGGCGTTGTTGCCATGGCTCTAGGCGCCCATTCTTGAAAACCACGCGATTTAGAAAGCCTCTGGCCATCCAGTAGCGTCTTCGCAGGTGCTCGGACAGCTACAACCCGAGGGCCCGCGGCCTAAATCCGCGTAGTTTCCTCGAATCGGCGCCTAACTTATATTTAGAAGCTTCTGTAAAACATCTTCGATAGTATATGGTGCTCCCCCCCTAAATAAACCCCTGATGATGTTGACATGTGGAAGACTAGATTTTGTGAAACAGTCTTGAAGTAGCCTGACTCTCCCTCTGAATTACAATAGGTTTTGCTGGAAACAAAAAGCACTAAAGTGTAATAAATTATTTATAATATATAATACATAATCCTTAATGAAAAGGCACCCATGGTGCTAGGATGAGACATGCAGTGTTGATATTCACTTTACACCTGCTCTTAACATGATTAATGTTTCAATTGATGACTGACAGTTGCTGGTCCTCTCCTCAGATCCATCCCTCATTCCACACCTTCTCATACCAGTCTTTACTGCCATATCTGGAGACTTGGGGATGTTTACTGGCTACACTACAGTACCAGATGCCAGGGCTGCTCTCTTCCGTAAGAACTTCAGTGATTGTGATCAAGTCACTGTTGAGGCTGGGAAGTACTACGCTCTCTATCGTCCTCATCCCAGCTGGAAAAACTTATCCCGCAAGCTCTATAGAGCTGGAGAAACAAAGGCTGTGGGGATTGCCAAACCTCACGTACAGACTGTGATTGGTATGTAATTGACGAGTAAAGTGAGCCTACCTAGTTGCCTGAATGAATTGGAGTGAGTGGGTTATGGCCATTGCATACCAATGTTCTATGTGGAGAGATAAGCGAGTCCACCTATATGGGCGTCTGTATGCGGAATTTTTCCATATTATTATATGTATATATACATGTGACCCGCTCTGGGAAAAGCTACAATTCGGCGCAAATTCGAGATACGCGTGCAAATAGCTGAATCTGGGTCGCTGGTGGTACATTAGGTTTTTCATAACATGAAAAACTAGAGCCTTTCCCCTACCTTTTCGTGCAAGAGCGGTGGCAATCCGCCGTTCCAAACGCTCACAGCGACCTGTCAAAGACGCGAGGTTCGACTTCGTGGGCGCGTGCACGGACGCGCGCACGGTCGAAATGTACAGAGCGCGATTACTAATAGCACATGATACACGGGTTACTAAGGAAACCCTCAGAATACAACATGGCTTCTTCAGCTGATGGTACAACAACAGAGACAGTAGCGCAAGCTCTACGTGAACTGGCACTTTCGCGCGGTGACCAGGATAGGCTATCTGAGTTCCTCAAAGAATACTTTGCCTCAGATGACAATGAAATTACTTCTGGTAAGTGAAAACACAGTGAATAATAAACATAGCTAGCTATGATAGAGGAGAGTGGAGAGAGTGACATAGAGTGGGAAGATGACCCTTCCAGCCAGTCAGCTACTGCTCCCAGTCAGTCATCACTGCTGCAAGACAGCCTGGTGGAGGAGGAACAGGAGATGAGCCAACCCGACGTAGTGAACACTGCGCCTGTCCAGGACGTCAGCCCCAACAGAGAATATCTGGAGAGAGAGGAGAGAGTGATGGTAGAGAAGTATCTCAGGGACGGATGTGGGTGTGATCTGGCTGATGGGGGTTGCAGCACTAGGTTTACGGCCGACTCTCTGGAGAGCTACAGGAGAGAAGTCAGTGAACTCACACGAGTAGAGCTGGACATGGCACTCCTAGGCCAACTCTCGGCCTTCACAAACAGCAACACACTCACTGTGCACTCCACAAAAGATCGTCACCCTGCAACCAATCGACAGAGGTCCTACAGCCTCTTCTGGCATGGTGGAGAGAGAGTGTGCAGGAAGACCTTCCTCTTCCTTCACACAATCTCCGACAAGAGGCTCCGCAACCTGCAGCAGAGCTGAAAGAGAACGGACTAGCTCCAAGGCGACAGGGCAACCTACGCAGGCTACCACCAAATACCATCAGCTTCATCGACACCCAGAGAGTGGTAGAATTCCTGCAAACATACGCAGAGGCCAACGCCATCCTCCTTCCTGGACGAATAGCAGGATACAAACGCACTGATGTGCAGCTGCTGCCATCCAGCACCACCAAACTTCAGGTTTGGCAGCAGTACTGCACATCAGTAGTCAGTACCCCTCACCAACAAGTGGCATACTCCACCTTTTGCTCTATCTGGAGGCGGGTGGTTCCTCACGTCATGGTCACCAAGCCCATGAGCGACCTCTGTTGGGTATGCCAATGCAACAGCACAGCCATCATGAGAGCTGCTAACCAACCCGAGGAGCAGAAATCAGCTGTAAGTACATTATGCAAAACTAGGCATAATAATTACACTTCATACCTTCTTTAGGCCATACGCAAGGCTGAGAACACGTGCTGTTGGCCACGAAGGAGCGGTCGTACTATCGCGAAGTGTGCGACAAGGCCAAACAGACCGTGAGGCAGACCTTTCAGCAGGCTGGCGTGTTCTCTCTCTCCTCCACCCTCCTCCCGACTCCCTCCTTGCTCCCCTGCCCTCTGTCGTCCACTACTCCTTTGACATGGCACAGCAAGTTCACTATCCCTCTGACCCCCTCCAAGCTGGCCCAATCTACTTCCTCACCCCTCGCAAGTGCGGAATCTTTGGGGTATGTTGTGAAGCCATTCCAAGGCAGATCAACTACCTCATTGATGAAGCCTGCGATACGGGGAAGGGGGCCAACACCATCGTCAGCATGCTCCACCATTTCTTCCAGGAGCATGGACTGGGAGAGACACATGTCCACCTTCATGCGGACAATTGTGTGGGGCAAAACAAGAATAACACTATGCTCCATTACCTCATATGGCGGGTGATGGTTGGGCTCCACACACAGATCAGTCTCCCTTCCTCATTGTGGGTCACACCAAGTTCTCACCAGACTGGTGTTTCGGACTGCTTAAACAGCGTTTCTGTCGCACCAGTGATCTGGAGAGAGTCGTCAGCTGCTCTGCGGAGGCAAATGTGGCACAGCTGGTAGGGACACAGACAGGGGGAGGTGGTGGTTCCTACCTACAATTGGAGTTCAATGTTCGCTGGTCGGCTCCGTAGACTCAAGAACATCAAGACATAACCATCACATCGTCGTCTCTGCATCTGCGCCGGGCTCTGTGGATGTGAGGGTGGAGTCAGACTCAGAGAGTGATCACATCTCACTTCTGATGGACCGTACGTGGACGACATCTCCACAGCAGCTGCCACCTGTCATCCCTCCTTCTGGGCTCTCCCTCGAGCGGCAGTGGTACCTGTATAGCCACATCCGGGGTTACTGCCCGCAAGAAGCGCGAGACGAGGTATGTCCACAGCCACTCACCCCTCTCTCCTCCGCTACTGCCTCCTCCTCCACTGCTGCCTCCTCTCCCACTGCCAGTGCTGCCAGCAACTCACATGGCACTGCCCAACCAAACATCTGCGGGCAGTACACAAGATGGCCCACCACCGACAAAGCGGCCACGAATTTGCGGCAAGTGCCACACCCCTGGACACAATGCCCGCACATGCGGGAAATGAGGCGCCCGCTCTCTCCCCTACCCCATCGTTATTATCTCCAATTGTACTTCTCTCCCCCCATCCATCCTCTTTATTTCTATCTCTATCTTCCCCACGCTTACGCACACAGTTTACTACAGATATTACCTATTATTGAGTGCCCAAACACGGCGCTTGCGCTCATGCATTCGATCTATAGTATCTATCCCACTTACCAATGATCCTTGGAGACTGCCCGACGTCTATAGACCTCCGAAACACTTCCAGATCCCCAGTAGACTCCCAAAGAACAAGTACCGCACAAAATCCGCTTGGTTTTTACGAATGACGTAATTATTACGCGCAGTAGTGTACGGAGAATTTTGTTTCCAAACCGGGCGTCACATTTCAACGCGCGTTCTCGAAATTACGGGTAGCCAAGTGCTACGACGCTTCCGCTTATAACACGTGACAGGAACACGCTACGAAATCGGGGTTTGCGTCATCGTATAGCTTACGTTTCGCGCTTTCACGCGGTACCGCTAACGCAATTTAGAATTTTTGGTCACATATGAAGACAACATTTTTTCTGCATAATACTTCATCAATTCTTACCATTGGTAACGGTAGCACACATGGAGATGACACATGTGTATTACATTATTTCCATGATCACTACATGTTTGTAAACAATTTAAAAAAATAGCCTCGGGCACTTTTCTTCATGTCAACTTCTTCAGTCCTCAAACTTGTTAACTGTAGCACGCATGATGATGAAACTTGTTACGTATGTGTAAACTACGAGGTAGAAAGGCAAAGGCATAACAAACAGGTCAACTACACCCAGGACAGCTGGAATAGCTGCCCTAGGTGGGATTCGAACCCACAACACTCTGCAGTCTAGGCTAAGCGCTCTACCAACTGAGCTACCAGGGCATCTCAGCTGGTAGGGGTTCCTATCTACAACAAAATACAACACAAAGCAAACATCCAACCCATACCTGTAGGTAGGGGTGATTCATTACTTGCAACCCACAATAGACCATGAGTGTATAAGCATTCAAGAGATACTCCCAGCTGTGCATAGATTTTCTTTCGCTTGTTTTAACTACATCTATCTTTCCATTTTTGTAGTGGCACTCTGGACGATTTATGAGGAACCGGTGAGCAAAACTATTCTGCTGTGTACTGTAATAACCTCTAAACATGCAGTCTGCAGATACATATGGAGCTTTTTACAGAGGAATAGTGTACGGGCTTTTGGAAAACCTGTGAACTTGTGGGTATAAAAGAGGGCATCCCGGTAAGGGCAAAGCTCAAATTTTTACGTTGCCCAAGATTGTGTGCCAGCACTGTCCTTGTTCCTAACACGGCTCTGATTCCTCACACAAACGGGTCAACGTGAGCCGTTTTATATACAAGCAAATGAAACAACCGCTACTCACAGCTGGCGAGCTTGTTGGTTTGCATGTTCTATGTATATAACAGCTTGCTGACCAATCGCCTCTGCCGGCCGTGTACACCACAGACCTAGGCTATTCCTGGACCGAACAGGGTTACACTGCACATGTTGCGTGCAGACCGGACCAAGGCCAACCGGCGGCTGGCTTAAGTGGCAGGAGACAGATGCTCTGCATGGTGCTTCTCTTAGAAACCAACTTACCAACGTTGAAAACTTGCAGAGGACTTATGAGAATACGAAGACGGAACCACCAGCTAAAATGATCTCGAACAAAAAACCAGTCAGAAGGGCGTTTTTACCTGCATGGGGTGTACATGGGCAAAACACTGGCCAGCACAAAGAATGCCAGCTTTTCAGTGAGTAATTGGCTTATGTTCCATATAGGGAAATAGGTTTAGACTTTAAATAATTGTAGATGCTTATTGAGTGTGAGAGCACTGTGTACCAAGTGGCGGTGTGTATTGTCCGCCATTTCCTTTTTGTTGAGCAAACTCCAAAAACGTCAAGAAAGAAATTTATCCCTGGTATGCCCACTTTTCATGCGAACTGCACCAAAACCACAGAATGCTGCTGATGTATTTTTATAGCAGCAGCAGGGCAAGTCGTTTCCCCTCACCTGCACGCATATGCAGCAAGGGTTATTGTAGTCGGTCTGTGTGTGTGTGAGGTGTGTCCGTCTGTCAACTGTTTCTTTTTGGAAACTGAGGCGGTTCTTAGGTGAAACATGGACATCGTGGTGGGCTTAAGCTATGCTCGCTATGTGTAGGGCGCTTTTTGCATGTATATGGACGAGATAAGAGGCTTGCAACTGTAAGCTGGCGCACATCTGCTCTCATTTCTGGGCCCAAACTCATAATCTCTCCGAAATTACAGTAAACAGGCTACGTACGGGTATGATGATATACTGTTTAAAATACGGAAATCACCCCGGCCCGCCATGAAGCTCGACCTCGAGCTTGTTCGGTTGTCCTGTCCCGGTCGGTGTAGATCCACAGGTAGTTGAATACAGCCTCCTCAGACTTCTTGTGCTCTGCAGGTGAAGTAGTAGAAGAGAGAGATAGTTCGGTTGATCTGCGCTCTTCACTTGGAGGTGCCTGGTCCACAGAGTTGAATGCAGCCTCCTCAGAGTTCTTGCGCTGTACAGGTGAGGGAGTATAAGTACTGTCCCGGCCATTGGGCTGTGTCCTCTTCCTGTGGTGACGTGTTTGTTTCATATTTTCAACCGCCTATTTTCAACACATCTGGGTGGTATGTACAAATACCTAGCTGCCGACACACTCTCTCAGACAAAAGCAGAGGTTCCACCGCATCGAATTTGACATACACAGGGCTACACGGGTGGTTCCCATGAAAGTGATGTCCAGGTGAACCTTCCCTTCCAGGGAGAACGGGTGCTGATCATGGAACCTTGTTAAAGTGTTTCTTCTTTAGTTTGGTCACTGCTGCAATCATGGTAAAGAGGTTACCTCCCATTATGGTTACCCCCAGTCAATGAGCTGGCACTCCTTCGATCACCACATGCGCTCAGCGAGGTTTGTTTCCATTGTCTTGTACCAGTGCATCATTGGGCCGGTGGGTTGGGTATTGCGTGAGAGCATATCTGGTGTGTCTGTGCTGAGGTAGTTGTACCCCCAGGAGCTGAAGTCTGTTGTGCTGGGCAGTTGCGTTTGTAGTGACAGGGTTGTTTGCACCTTTTTACTGGTGGGGTTTTAAAAAGAGGAGCATGAGTGGGGGGCAGCTGGTTGAGCTGTAGTTGGCCGAGATTAAGGTGAGTGTACTGGTGCGATAGGTTGCTGCATGAGCTGCCTGGATTTAGTATAGGAGCGACGTGGACCCAGTTCGATGAGTCTGCGTTCGTGGGTCAGTGCAGCCAAACAGAGTTGTTGGTAGTTCTGTGCCCCTGAGACAGCCGGTGCCTTCACCAGCTCATACTTGAGGCCCTCCTGCAGTTGACTGAAGAGGAGTGTATCCCGTGTCTCACTCGACATCTTATCCCGTCCATATTTGCTCCAAGCGCCGTATGTAATCTGGAACCGGTTCCTCTCGTTGTATAGCATGACGAAACTCCTGTGCCGCCAGGACACGACTATGTGGGTCAAGCCGATTAAGCAGGGCCTCAGTGGCAGCAGCAAACGTCTCGGTGTCTTCAGTGGTCAGAAGATTCCACTCCCGAAGGACGCGTTTACGTAGGTGCCCTGCTAACTGAACAAGACAGCCTTCATCGCTGCAGTGATTCCATCTCGCCGTCCGCTCAAATGATGGCATCCAATCCTCAAATGGCGTAGAATCTGACTCTCCGTCAAAGAACTCTACCGGAGGGGCCTTACCCCGACGCACTGGATATGTATCAGATGGGCTAGTATCTGCTGCACCTATGGGTCTAAACGGGTCACGACTGAGTCACGAGTTGGTGAGCGGGTGCGTGAGCCTGCCCCAGACATGCTTTCCAACGTGGCAACCCTCCTCCGAAGTAACTAAATTTCCCCCTCTTTCCCCTAGTAATGTATTACACTCCCTAAGCTGGGCACAGTTAACCTTCCATAACTATTAATTATACTTCTGCTTTTCCCCCTTCTTAAGAGCACTCACTTCTTCCATGAGGGCCGCTGTCTGTTCAGTGAGCAGTGCATTCTCTGTCTGGAGTGCCACAAGTCATCCCTCTCGCGCACTCCCCGTTCTGGACCCGTAGCAGGGACGACAACTCCTGCGGTTCTGGGTGTCCCCGATAAATTGGGCGTGCCGGACAGCAGCCACGTCCGGGCTTCGAACACAGTGAAAGGGGCAGTACCCCCAAAAGGCAAAGCACAGCAGAATGACAGGCAGCGGTCCGATTCTCCCGCCCGAACAGGTGTACGGCTTCGCTTCTACCTCGAAATCAAACCAAGAGGCAGCGGTCAGATGCATCCTGGCAGCAAGGGCCATCCGCCTGCATCTGCCAGGACTCGGGCATGAGTAATCCATGTACTCCTTCGACGCAATTTTCTTTACGAGCTTTTGCCGGACAGAACTGAGGCCAGTAAAGCGTGCCAGATCCTCCGAGGACCCGTCTTTGTCGGCCACGGTTGCTACAGCTGAGGGCCACACCGAGTGGGCCGTCGAGCTTATAGGATCTCTACTGCCAGCAACGAGGCAGCTGCCGAGCCTGGGAAAGGCGTCGTTAGGCGTGGCACCCGGCCACCCGTGCCGTCAGCCACCGAGGCTGACAAAGCGATACCTCTGCCGTAGGTGTTGACAGTACAGAGCATACTGGTGTTCGAGCCGGCTACGGTCCACCTACATGCTGGATACACCTGCTGTAGGTGTCCACAGCCCAGAGCAACTCGGTGAGGGGCCCTCAAGTTATTCGGTAGCAAGAAGGCACCCGAGTTCAGCGCAAAACTGCTCGAAAATATGCTGCCACTCTGGAGGCCCCCTTGCAGGGCATCCGCAATGGCGCTAAAGATTTCTGGGGCTGAGCGTAGTAGTGCCTGCCCTCCCACTCAACCCCCCAGCAGGTAGTCGGTGGACTGGCATTAGCCGGCACGCTGATCCGATATCGGGCTTTGCCAACAGTGCACCTGCACCCAGCCGCTGGGCCATAACTGCCATGGACTCCGCTGACGGATACTTGAGCGAGCACCGCTGAGCCTCGATCCCATCGTTCACGCTTCGCCCTCCTGATGAGACAACCAGCGATCAGTTTCAATCAGCTAGGGGTGGGGCCTCACGGGGCCACCCCAATTCTATTGCCCTGGGATCTGACCCGGGAGGAAGGGGCATGATCACCTCCCTTCCTCCACCTCCTTTGATAGGTAGTTGCTGATACCGCCGGGCGGCGCGTTGCTGACTGCCTATTGCTATGCCTCCCATTACCTATTGCACGAAGGCCCTGTCGGGGTGTATGGGAATCGGGAAGTGCGGGTGTTTGCCTGTCCCCCTGGTTGTTTGATTCCTCAGCAGCACTATTCTGCGGTCCCCATGTGGGGGCGTGGTCAGTAGCTAAGCTGCTGCGCTCGAGTGTCTGCCGCAGACAGGCCGGGTTCCAGGCCGACAGGGGCAAGGATGGCTCGCGGATTTTGGGGGATGCTGGCTAGTTGCCGGATGCAGGCGGGCTGCCGGCGCCTATAATCCCACTCTGCCACCGATTGGGGGCACCTGCACTTCGCGTACTGGTGTGCATATCGACACTGGGGAAATCGGCACCTCAAGCCCCCAGGCGAATTGAACAGATGTCGGTGGCCCAGGCCGCCTGGGTGAGCCTCTACGGGGGCTGGTAAGCACACATGCGTATCGGCCAGGCCAGGCAACACTTGTGCCTCAGCAACTGCCCGGCCATGCCAGCAAACACCTAGTTGTAAAAGGGAGCGGGTCGGCGAAGCCCCAATCCAGTATGCCACGATTGCCAGCTTGGCGACAAAGCGCTATGCCGTAAGACGCCTGGCCAGGCAGAGCTCTCAATGCCTTTATGATTGTCTGTCGGCTGGTGAAGCCATGTGGGGCTTTCTCTCAGAAGCCGACGCGAGGATAGCCGCCATCGTGGCGAAGCACTCCGTTACGTCTGTAACCAGACTGCGGCGCGGCCGCCCCGTGTGGCAGCAAGGGCCGTCCGCCTGCATCTGCCAAGACTCGGGCAGGAGTAATCCACTTCGACACGATTTTCTTAGCCGGACAGAGCCGAAGCCAGGAAGGCGTGCCAGATCCTCCGAGCAACCGTCTTAGTTGGCCACGCTTGCTACTTGTGAGGGCCACGCCGAGTGGGCCGTCGAGCTCATAGCATCTCCGCTGCCGGTGGAGGCCATCGGGCAATGTAACAGCTGCCGAGCCTGGGGTATTGTTAGGCGTGGCATCGAGAAGTGGACCCGGCCACCTGTGCCATGAGCCACCGAGGCCGACAAAGTGATACCCCTGCTGTGGGTGTCGACAGCGCAGAGAATCCCGGTGCTCAACCGGCTAGTCTACGTACTTATACATGCTAGGCCCAGTGGCGTGTTCAGTAAATCAGGCAGGAGGTGCTCAGCGAGGCCACAATTCCACAGCAGCACCATGTACGCATTTGCTCGCACAAAAATTAGTACCTGGTTATGCGCATGCGTGCAAGCTGTCCTTTGAACTCCTTCGTCGTTAACTGAAAGCGTTGCCTCGTCGTTCGCGGAAATCTTGATTGACTTGTGAGGCTGCTAGCAGCCTGTAGCGAGAAATACACGGATTGATGGCTGCGTGTGTTGTCTATAGGGATCCGCCTATAAGAACTTTTGCTAAATACAGCAGCGCACACTGCCCGTTATAATTATATGCAAAGCGGAGGCCAGGGGGTCGTAGGTGTCGACAGCGCAGAGCATCCCGGTGCTCGAGCCGGCTAGTCTACTTACGTGCTAGGCCCGGGGTGGATACACCTGTCGTAGGTGTGGACAGCCCAGAGCAACTCGGTGCTCGAGCCGGCTTGTCTACAGGGTACCTGGACCCCGATTTATCAGAATACGTATACCCGAGGCTGCCGGCGAGGCCTTCGGGCAACGAGGCATCTGCCGAGCCTGGGAAAGGCATCGTTAGGCGTGGCATCGAGCAGTGGACCCGGCCACCTGTGCCATCAGCCACCGAGGCCGACAACGTGGTACACCTGCCGTATGTGTCGACAGCGCAGAGCATACCGGTGCTCGAGCCGGCTAGTCTACCTACGTGGTAGGCCCGTGGTGGATAGAAACATCAAGCCGAAGGTGGTGTATCTCCATCAAAATACAGCCAACCCCCAGCATTGTGTTATTAAGAAATATCTCGGTCTCTCATGCCCCTGCCGATGGGTTCTACCTCCAGCCTTCACCTATTCCAACTGAAACATGCTGGTTTTCCCGCCGCCCTTTGGGCTACCATTCACTCTCCACCACAGTAGCCAGAATATGTAAGGCGGCAGGAATCGACAAATAACTCTCTGAGGGCGACATCCACCACCAGACTTTACCAGTCAGGAGCGGAAGAGCAACTGGTCATGAGAGATCAGAGGCACTGCAGCGTAAAAGGAGTTCGAAACTACAAGAGAACGTACATCGAGCAGTGGCAAGTGCTCTCCGACATTCGAGCCACAAAGACTCCAGGGACAACCGATCCGTCCTCTGCTCCTGGATGTTCGGTTCCATCAGAGCCCCCACACTCGGTCTCTTCTGGACTTCCTTCCCAGCCACACTCATTCACTTTGCCGTCTAACAATGCACTTTAAACTTTTGCAAGTAGCTAGTCATCAAGTCCACATCATCTAGACACATTCTCTCATTGAGCCAGCTCCGCGTGACTACAGCACATGGAAAAATTTGCGCATGTGCCAAATTTAGAGTCCAGAAAATGTGCTGTATGTGATTTAGAGGTTTCACACATCGACCAATCAGTTCAAATTACCCAACAGGCTGTTACCTAGCTCACTGGAAGCTCATCAGTGCCTCTACCCAACTCATACTGCCACTTGCCTCAGTCACCTTAATTATTGGAGTCGGCAGTCTTTCGGGTAGGTGGGATCGCCACACCCACATTATGCTTGTATCAGTGTGCAAGCCCACATTATGCTGGATGCTCACACTAGCTGAATTTATTGTGACTTGCGTGGGCGGATCAAAGGAGCCGCGCATACTTTTATTTCAGCACGCGTTCAATATGACCAATATTGAACGTTCAATAAAAGAATTATTGAACTAGCATCAGCATCGTACCCATAGTGTTGACAAAAACTGTTCTGTAGAGGCTTTAGAGGCGAGGGATGACTTCTGTAGAGGCTGTAGAGGCGATGGGATGGCTGAGGCGACCACACCCCTTCATTCAGCTCCCAGTGGCAAGCGAGACCGCGGCTGTGGCACACCGACCGGTCAAACGGCCCAGCGACCTATGAAACGAGTTTCTCTGAGGGAGAAAGAGCCACCATAACGACCTTGTTCGATTACGGTAGCCTCGAGAACAGAGAACTCGCTCGAGAAGCCAGCGAGTGCGCACGTGCGCAGGCTACGCGGTCGTATTGCTCTCGCTGGAGATCGACGACTGCTACAAAGTCACAATAAAACACATAATGTGCGTCCTATCGTTCTATACATGACTTATGGGAACGAGGGGTGTGGTCTCGAGACCCATACAGCACTCGGCTGCACCTCGTGCTGTATGAATCTCTCGACCACACCCATGCGTGTATATACTCTCACGTGACGGGCACTGATCATTAACCCTCGCCTGCGCGCATGCGCAGCGAGGGTTATTGCAGTTGGTCTGTCTGTGTGTGTGTGCGCGTGTGTCCGTCTGTCCGTCTGTCCACCGTTTTTCTCGGTAACCGCGGCAACTCTGAGCGTGAAACATGGACATATTTTCAACTAGGAGGAATGCATGGTAAAATAAGATTCTGGAGCGGAAAAGGCCGGGGAAGCTGGTGAAACGGACGGCTGCCGAGGTGAGTGTGCGTCAAATAGAGATTGCAAACCATCGTTGTACTTAGATGCTAGATGCTTTGCGCGTGTGGAGAAGATTTGCTGGTCTGCCTGTATTGATGTACAGTTGAGTAGGATCGAGATTGCTGGTGAAGTGAGAGCAGCACATGCCCCAGTGAATCCGTTCAGTGAAGGAGTCACTGAGGTAATGTAGCTGTAGTAGCTATGTAGCTTAATAGTCGTGATGGTTGTCAAGACCAGTGCTTTTCACTTTGCTGTATTTGCTGTATTAGTAACTAGTATTGAACGCACATATGCCAAAAACTGACATAGTGTAGCTAGTAGCCATTGGCTGCTGAAATATAGAATAAAGTGGCGAGGGTTATGCACTTTCAAGTAGTTGGGTCTGTCTGTCTGTTACTCTCAATCTCACCTCTCGGATGTCTGTTTGTCTCACAAACGATGCGACGTAACGGGCAATGAAGGTCAGAAATTTCGAACGGTTTCTCTGAAAACGCTCCGTTGCAAAGCTAGAGCAGTTCTACCATTGTACGGCTAATGGTAGTCGGCCATATTTATCGCTGCGGAAAATGCGCATGCGCTTATATATAGCACAGGCTTACCACGACCGGGCCACTTGCTCTGTGTATCTTGAAGGCACAATAAGTCAACGAAGGGCGTGTATCGACTTTCGCATGCTATCTACTACTGTAGCTAGCCCGTGTCGGACTGTCTGCGAGGTACTTGCGGGAGACGAGTACTAATAGGCAATAGCCCAGCCCATCAATTAGCAGTATCGCGCACGCGCAGTTCGCCGAGGGTTTGCACTTTAGATGTATTTCACATGAGTGTTTCTGTGGTTTAGTCAGTGTAAGGATGTTGTAGGGTGTGTTTTGATGTTGATTGATACGAGCAGGTCCAGAGTTGACAGTGTGGAGAGATGGGAGCATGACATGTATGACCCCAATCAGTAAATGACAGTATTGGCAGCACATTGAACACAGATCATCAGCTATCATCATCATTTTATCATTTCAATTTGCTTTGACTGTAAGTAACATTGATCAAAACGGAGTTTTATTGTCTAAATTATAATGAATATTGCAAGTGTCAGTAAATTAGCAATGGTTAAATTGTAGGTCCTGATGAACTGCTGAAGTCTTGAAGTAAGTTTTCAGGTAAGTGTTCCTCATTTTCTCGTGATAGGTCAAGAATTGCTTGTAGTTGAAGGTCTTGACTGGCTGTGACTAAGGTTTCAGGGTGTGACAGCAAGTGAGCTACTTTTTCATATGACTCAGGGTAGTGCTGCAGAGTGGAATTCAAGATTGAGTTTGCAGCAACCTTTTACATTCACTATACCTTGAAGTATTGCATCGTGTTTTCATAAAGAAGCAATTGCTCAGCAAACTGCTGTGTACTGTGTCCTGTAAAAATTTTGATCAGGGTAGGATAATCGTAGACTAGTTTTACGTACGTATGCAGATGATTCCAATGTCCAAGTGGTGAGATAAGGCTTCTGGGATTGTGTTGTTCACTCCAATCATTATTGATTTTTTCGTGAAGATATAGGATCTAGGAGCAGTGATGCACCCAGTGAGTTGAACATGCTTGATGCTCAGAGCATAAACAGATGAGAAGTTGAATTTCATTACGACAACAGCAACATAGTGCTTTAGGGGGCAAATTATTCGCCAGCTTGTGTCAGTGAAGTTTGCTGACCCATTTAGGCGTGAGTGGTCCCTAACTTGAAATTTTCTCACATTACCTGTAGACAAAGTGTTTTTCGATAGACAATACTACACATACTGAATAATAACTAACTGTAGTACTCTGAGTCCATTCTTGTTTCAGTTGCATGAAAACATCCTTTTGGGGCAGTTACTGTTTCATCTGTAGAACTAGTGTTGATCGTTGGAATAGTAGCTGCATCAGTTACAGCAGTCAACAGCAGCAACCAGCAAACACCATGCAGTACTAAAGTCATGGCTACAGCAGCAGCTATAGCTATGCTATCAAGAGTTTCAGCCCTGCTCTTGTGAACACTTACTTGGACTTTATAAGCATTAGAAATGTTGTATGTGATGAACTCGAAGCAAATTGTGACATAATGACCAGACATCCAATTGACCTACTGAAAACTCGGCTGTGTAGGACGATGTAGAGAAAAAATAGTGCTCTGCAGACATGTGTCAATTTGCATCAGCTCGGTAGGCCTTTGTGATGCTTGTACTGGGCAGTGTATTTAATGAAAGTTTCAAGTTAGGGAACTAATTGTTTTTTCAATAGGACAAAGGTTGCAAGATATAAACCGGGAAATTTAGTTCTTTCCCCAATGTTCCAAGATATAAACTGTCAGTTCTTCTTGGAAAATTACTTTTCGCCCACTGGACCTGTGCTGCCAGTTACGGGATTGTAACAGGAAACATTTTCCTCTAAGTTCTTATCTATTGTGCACAACACACTACAATTAGTATATCTGAATTTAATTGAAAAATACAACAATTATTGTTATGTCATCTCGGACCATGCGACTATACCCAGGAGGAACTTCTAAAAGTTTCATCACTTCTTCATCTGCACCACCCAGGGCATGCCACAGCAGTTGAGTTGCAGCATTTGGTGGGCAACATTTAGCACCACCTTTCTTGCCAAAATACTTCAACAAAGAAAAGGAACCATGGAGATCAGTTTCTTCCTTAAGGGTGTTTGCTACAATGTTAACCACGTCTTCATTGCTGATCCTTTCCCACAATCCATCTGATGCTATGACTAGAAATCTGTCACCAGCCGTGATTTCATGATGAGTAACAACAGGTGCCGCTGTAATATAGGGTGGAGTCTTGTAGTTAGGCCAAACGGGAACTATACCTTCCAAATACTTTGCATCCCACTTAAAGTCAACATCACCAAAGGTCCGAAAAGGCATTAGACTCCCAAGAACACGCCCATTGAGCACAATGTTATCTTCTCCTGGATGGGCCATTTTCAGCCTTTCCACTTCATTACCATTCATTGCGTTCTGATCAACAGAGAGTGGAAGTGCTTGCCATGATTGCCCAACTTCTCGCCCTAAAACTACTCTACAGTCACCAGTTGTTGCTACTGAGATAGCATCAGTTTGGACCATTGCAAGGGTTACGCATGCCCCTTCTATTGCCCGCATGATCCTTTCCTTCATATCAGGGGTCATGGAGTGACCCTGCATGATAAGCTTTACATCACTGAGTGCTTGACTGGAAATGTGATCCTCCAGTGCATTGAAAGAAGAGGTTAAACACGCTTCGACAACTGGCAACGTAATAGATTGAACAGTTTCATGTTCCATATGTGGAGTACGGTCTTTTGTGACAAAAGTTTGATTCATGGACATACACACTTCCAAGTCCGACTGGAATGTCCCAACCGTTTTTGTCAATGCTGAAGTAACAAACTGAAGAAGGTGATTTTGAATATAGTTGGAGCATCTACAGCCTTTGTGCCCATCAATAACAGAAAAAATACCAATTCCTAAAGAAGAGCTGAACCCTGTAACAAATCTGTCTTCAATAGGTGAATTTGAACCTAGGAAGTTGACCTCAACTTTTTTTACAACTGGATGTTTTACCCGTCTAGAAGCTTCATTCTTTTGCAGGCGCTCATAAGAAAAGTACCTTATGGCTGTTGAGCAGTTGGCTATGCATGTTGCGGCATTATTCAGGAACAACTTGTTGAATACGACCGCACCGACGAATAATGTAGTGAACGCCCCGAATACTGTAGTAGTTGGCCGACGAGAGAGTCGACAGGTACACCATCGAACCATTTTCTCGACACCACGATCCTCACTCGCAGACCAGACCCAAGAGAGGGTCTGCTAAAGTGCAGCTAGCCGCACCCCCTTTATTAAAGAGCTCGTAATTACGCGTTGCGGTTAGAGTGGGATTGGACCAGCCGATATTAAATTCGTTTTACTTTCAGTTTCTATCATATTCTAGCTTCTCACATATCAGTCTGATCCTATGGTCAAAAAGGATGTACCTAAAAATCGCATGATCGAAAGTTAAATTCTTATTGTTGTTTTTATTGTTCAGTTTCAACAAGCGTATCTCAAAAACCAGGTAAGATATGGAGAGTAAATCAATGACAGGATGTGCAAGAGCTTATTTTTTGCGAACAATGTAAAAACAAAAAAATATAGCCCCGAGTCATCCAATAAAGTGTATTATAGCTAACCAGAATGATAAAACTTTGTATAATATATACTACACAACCCTCAGGCAATAAAAACTGTTTGTTTGTGCCCATAACTTGCTTACGGTGGGTCCCCTAACAATGAAACTTTGTACACTGATATACGTACCATGATAAGAGTTCATCAAAACAAAAATAAATTACAAGCCTCAGGCAATAAAACCTTATAAATTTGTCCCTATGCTGAATTTTTTCATGGTACATCAGTGTACCAAGTTTCATTGTTATAGGACCCGAAACACAGTTTACAAGTTATTATTGCCTGCGGCTGTTTCTTGTTGTATACAAACTTTTACATTTTGATTGTAATGGTTGCACAATGTGTAGAAATTTTTTATCACTGTGGGTATTGGCATTAACTAGTTATCACACTTTCATCATAATGTATGACCTAGGGGTTATTTTTTGTTGTTTCCATGTAAACAACATTTTTACAAACAAACTAAAATGCTCTTGCATGCATAGATTCCGATCTCTGTGGAAAGTTTCATTTCTTCATCTCACCTTTTTTGAGGCTTGTCGAAACTGATCAGCAGTAATAACAAGCTGAAGAAGAATATCGAAAACTGACTCTTTTGAGTCATTCCTTAGGTATATACACTATTTTTGACCATACGGATCACACTGATAATGTCAGAAGGGGGATCAGATTGAAGAAATGTGAATTTGGGCATGCTGGATCACCTGCACCATCCCTATAATCACTAAGTACAGTAGTACAGTACTATAGGATTATGAGTTATTTGTGTTAAATCTGAAGAAGAGGAAGAAAATCTTCCCCTATCATAACCCCATACATCTATCCATGCCCATCCCTATAAAGGATGGGCATGGTATTTATTTTAATAGGGGATTGCTCTCTTTCACAGAGATATACGTAGTAGTATATAAAAATGAGTCGAAACAAGTCAATAAAAATCCTGTGATTTTAAAAATAGACATACTACTGAGTAATGAACCCTGTTATGGATTCCAACTTGAGTTTAAGAGTGGCACACCAGGCAACAACATAGGGATTATGTGATGGGGTCAGGGGTGTCAAATCTGTTTGTTAACCATGCTTCATGTATCCAATCCCTATCCTGTCATACCTTTAGAAATTCATAAGGGTATACATAAACATGTCAAATTAGAAGTCATGGGAATGATGTAATACACATATGAATCAAGTTCTCCCCCATGCGTGGTACCGTTAGCAACATTAGGAGTGATGAAGTAAAAGTTCCTGAGGCTATTAGTTGTTGTTGTTATTATTACTTTACAGCACATGATAGCATAAAGAAAACAGTGAAAGTAGGCTAGAGAGGAGAGAGTGGAGGCATTTATGGTGACATTGACTGAAGTAACACCAGATAGAAATGCTCATTTCTTAAGTTGAAGTAGCTATGGATGAACAGATACACTTAGCACAAGGACATACATAATGGAATGAACAAGGGTGAGAACATAGAAAATTAAACATGGTCCAGAAAACTTGGTAAACGTACATTTTAAGAGCGAGCGAGCATGATGTATATACAGGTTCCTTTTAGCAGTGAACCCCAAGGAGAGAGCGCCAGATAAGGCCTAAATTTTGGAAGCACGAGAGGATATAAACATCATGTTCACTAGTTTGCAAACATGTAATACACATGGGTATCAAGTTTTATTCTTTGTGAATTTTGCCTGAGCATATTCTTTTGTGATTACAAACATGTAACCAGATCCAGTGTCATAGAAATACTGAAATACACATGCATACAAAGTTTCATCTCCCATGCATTTATGAGCACAAGTTATAAAAAACAAGACCCTAAGCTATGACAAACCTATAACCAGGTGGCTCTAAGCCAAAGTTCCACAACAGAATGATGGACTGTCTACCAGCTTGTTGTTGGGTGTGGATTATCATGGTACATCAGTGTACAAAGTTTCATTGTGCATAAGCAAGTTACAGGCACAAACAAAATGCATGATACATACAGGAGCTACGATAGGGAGTTTTGTTAATCACCTTCTTTTTCTTCTTTAGATTTAACACCCAATAATAGTCATGATATTTTGTTGACATACTAGCACCATGCAATACATTTAAAAAGGGAACTCATGTGTTAGTTTGACTCACAGAGATGGTATGAGGTATTTGAATGAAACTTTTTATTAACCAGCATAACAATTCATGTTCACAACAACCAATAGCATCAAGTAATGTTTTGCTTTATGCTAATGCTAATATGCATATTGCTACGTGTGTGTATTTCAACTTCCTAGTGACAATTAATTAACTTGGCTTGTAAGCAACAACAAATAGTCACTGGCACTTTTCTTTAATACACTCCTCATCAAACTTGCTAACAGTGGCACCCATGGAGATGAAACATAGCCTTAGGCACTTTCTTTAAATATTACTTCTTTACTCCTCCAACGTACGGTAGTGTTTTCCTAGCAGTTTCAGTTGGTATGTGGTATGTTTTGTTTGAGGTGCGCTGGCTTGTTGTGTTAGCTCCAATCAGTTGTTTTGGACCATCACACACCACACCCATGCAATATTTACACCAAAATTGCAGTGATATATGCAGAGCATACACTAGAATACTAATGCAATGTTATGTTCGGACCTAATATTTTGCCTGTGTCAGTGGATTTGGCTGCACCATAAGAGAAAGGCTTTTATAATAGCTTTGGACATTATTGGTTTACACGTGCTTAGAAGTGTCTAACAGGTATGAATGAGTTTTCTTTAAATGTTGGTAGTTTTTAAGCATCTGTGAAACTTCTTGAGAATGTTTCAACTTCGCTTCCTCCAGCTCTTTCAGCAGGTAATCATTTGTGGTCACAAGAGATCTGCAACCACACACACAGCAAATATATTACTGACACTTCACCATATCCCTACTACAATAACTGTCACTTATGTGTTTATTTTCATCTAAAATTGAGTGGTGCTGGCAACTAAAGGTATTCAGAAACAAGAATGCGGAAACATTATCTACTGTCCAATTATCAACCCCATGTACCCACAGAATTGGCTTTGTTGTACTGGGGGTAAATGGCATGAAATACTGATAGCCATCCGAAATTGATGGTCTCTGGGTTTATCAGACCCTCGCTTCGATCAATCGTAACTTTTCTTGTGGAGGAGGCAGGGATCATTTTATAGAAGCACATAACAGCAAGATTCTTGGATTCCTAGCCTGTATATACCTTGACTCTAATATGTTGCTATGATAATTTTGTGCCTGCCACCTTTTGCAGCAGCGCAAACACGTCAGTAAATTTGATGCTTGGCGATATGCAATATCTCTAGAATTGTGTGAGATACCCTTTATCTCTATCACCTACACTAGGTTTCCCCTATATATCCTTTGTTTCTTGTGCTAATTATTACTCTGTCTGTTTGTGATTCTAGGACCAACAGCCACCCAACAGCCTCATATTATTCACTCGCACTCTCATAGAGTTGTATAGAGCGAGTGAATAGCCATCACTGATGAATGCTTGAGACTAAACCATGAATATTTAATTCTGATAAACCTTAGGTAACTCCATCAATTGTCATTACATACCATCTGATGCTATAGATACAACGTGGTGGTCATGTTAATGTATGTTGGGATAGTGTAAGTGATGGAGGTGGAAGTACGAAAATCAGGTCCGAAAAGAAAATTATGCAGGAGATGATAATACACCACACCAGGTTTGTACCAGCATCGCGATGGTGGCAACTACATATGTATGTGAGACCTTAATAGTCTGTCACCTTTGCAGACAGCGAAAAGGTTGTTTCATAGATTAGATAAACATCTGTACAGGTTTCTCCACAAATTTATTGTACATATACAGCTCCCTGTTTCTTGAGTCCTTCCAGACCCAATCCCAACTATGGCTCCTTGGTCTGTATATACCTGTGGCTCTCCTGTACCATATCAGTTAGTTCTCGAAGCTTTGTGTTAGCATGAGCTTCACTCTGTCTTCTCTGCTGATTACTTCTTAGGTCTGACTCAAGTGATGCTTTAGCACTCTCTAGTTCACCTGTTAATAAATTTTACATGGATAATATAACACTTCAACACCCAAACACACACAAAATCATCACCCTTACCTATCCTGCATGACTGCTGCACTGATGTTTCTAGGGCAGCTTTAATCTGAGCATTTTGCTCCTGTAGCTGTTCCAGCAATAACAGCTATAGAAATGATATATACAGTATAACCAAAGAATAATGGGAGTGCATACATAATTATACAAAAGTCAGAAGGAAAAGAGAACCACATTCTAGTGCACTGAGCTACAGCTGCCAGACAAAGCTGTCTTTTTAGTAGGTTTCTCTGAGAATTGTAGCTCAGTATATACGCACCCTTAACAGACTTAGAGTCATAGGACCTGAGTTGAACTGGCGACAGAAGTTGGTCCTAAAATTATCCAGACCAGCCTATCCTTGTTATGATGATGTGTAGGAGCATGTTTGTTAATGTGAGGTTTAATTAAAGACTAAACACCATGATGTGAAAATGACTCGTGTAAGAACCGCACAATGTTGGTATTAGCTTGCTTCAGCAGTTGAGTAATATCGTTTTTGAAGTGGACATCCTGCTGAATGTGTACTAGTTCTGAACACATTGCCTCCAACTTTCTCCTCTGTTCACTTAGCTGTGTAAAGAGATTGATTCAGAGCTGAGCTGTTAACTTTTGTACGGAGTAAACCATAATTACAGAAAATGTCAGTGACTGGAAGTGCCAAATTTCAGCAGCCTACATGTATTAAGAATCATGTAAGCATTGATCCTGCCTTCAGGACAACACAGCAGTGGAAGAAGTGGCACGAAACGTATTCAGTGTAGGACATTACAGTATGTGCTAGCGCTTCAAACTTTTGACACATAAGACTGATCCGTATCGTCACAAAGGGCATGTATCCAAGAAATGGCTTAAATTGTATTATCGGTACTTTTCAAAATTGTTGTTGTTGTTGTTGTTCAGTTTCAACAAGCGTATCTCAAAAACCAGGAAAGATATGGAGATGAAACTTTGCACAGAGATTGAAATCCTTGACAGGTCGCGCAAGAGCGTTTTAATAACAACAAAAAACAAAACATAGCCCCATGCAGGCCATACATTATGATATAGACCAATAAAGTGTGCTAACTAGGTAGAGCAAATACCCAGATTGATAAAACTTTGTACACACATGCAACCCATCATTAGTATCAAAATGAAAACATTACAAGTTTGTAAACAACAACAAACAGCCTCAGGCAATAAACTTCTGTTTGTGGTGTTTGTGCTTCTAACTTGCTTATGGTTGGTCCTCTAACAATGAAACTTGGTACACTGATGTACCATGATATGAGTTCATCGAAACAGAAACTACAAGCTTGTAAACAACAACAAACAGCCTCAGGCAATATAAACTTATATATGGTGTTTGTGCCTATAAATTACTCGTGGTACACTGATTCACCATTATAAAGAGAAACAGAAATTACAAGGGTGTAAACAACAACAAATAGCCTCAGGAAAAAATTCTTTAAAATGGTGTCAGTGCCTATAACTTGCTTATGATGGGCCCTCTCACAATGAAACTTGGTGCATTGATGTAATGTAAATGATGATAAAATGTCTAAGGCGATAGCTTAAGGCCACTAATGTTACTTATTTATGGGCTTATGCCCTTTTTATTGCACACCATGCATGTGAATGCAGTAAAAAAAGGAAAGGAGACAATAAATAAAGTCTTCCTTTTGGAATATAGGGGTGCCATAAAAAGCAAGGAGACAGCTATGATTTTATTTCATAAGAACATTAGACAGTCTGGGCGGTTCGACCGCACCAAACCTCCTCGAACCACTGTGATGCAGGGGGAAGCAGGCCTACAGGGCAGTTTCGAATGAGTTCAGAGTGGTTCGACCACACCGAACATCTACTCGTTTTTCAGTTGTGACTGCATTGTGTGAAGTCTAAGACTTGTACATTTGCTCAACTAACCAGTTTGACAATGCTGCGTTCTTGGCCATCTACTTACAGAATCCTTTCACCATTGTCCTCGCACAAAACAAACAGGAAGCGATGTCAGTTCAAAGTTTGTAGCCATCATCCATTGTACTACTGTATCGCGTTTACTAGGTCATCCCCGTCTTGTCTCCTTGCTTATTATTATGCTTATTATGGCATCCCGATATTCCAAACTTTTTTAATTCGAAGAATTTTTTATTTACTTGTTCTAATTTTCTTTGAGCATGTCTAAGGGTTAAGTTATTGACATTTTTCTGATCAGTGGCCAAACTTACAAAATCAGTATTGCAGCATTTTTACCGTAAGGGCATTTTTACCGTAAGGGACATGAAAATAGTATCCAGTTGGGAAAATGTGCATTATTACATGTTTGACTGTTCTGACTGTAGCACCACTCCTATACTTAGTAGGCTCTTTTCGAATCAATCATTACTTGCACAGTTGTAACATTGAAATGTGTTGAGTTATCATCCAGTTATCCTGATGACCACTTGATCTTCCACACACATGAACAACTTCATTACGGACATGAAAATCAGTTGGGAAATGTGCATTATTAACCCTCGGCGCGCATGCGCAGAGAGGGTTACAGTAGTTGGTCTGTCTGTTACTCTCAATCTCACTTCTCGGGTGTTTGTTCGTCTCACAAAGGATACGACCTACTTAACGGGCAACGAAGGTCCGAAATTTCGAACGGTTTTCTTTGAAACTGCTCCGTTGCAAAGCTAGAGCGCGAAAAAGCCAATATGCAAATACGGGATGGCTTACCACAGTCGGCTCGATCCGCGTGCTCTGCGTACTTCGGAGGCACCAGAAGATGCAACGCAGGGCGTGTATCGCCTCTCGCATACTATCTAGTAGTGTAGTTAGCCCGCGTCAGACTGCGCGAGCTGGCAAGAGACCACGAGCAGCCAAAACTAAACCCAGCCCATCAATTAGTGGTACGATGCATGCGTTTACTTACGCGTGCGCGTCACAGCACAGTGCGCCGAGGGTTTGCACAAACGGCGCGCCATACTTCAGTGCTTTTCATTACTGTTCTGACTGTAGCACCACTCCTATACTTAGTAGGCTGTTTTGCAAAATACAGGGCTCATAGTGTTCTGTAAGGAGACTGCACATTACAAGCCAACTGGTAATACCTTTAAAATGTAAAAGCCACAGGTACTTCCCACCTAAAGTTGTAGATTGTTCACAGGTATATAGTGGGCAATCTTTTACGCACAGATACTTTATCCTATGCTTGTGACCCAAAGTAAGTCAAACTCTTGATAGACTGACTGATTATGACAAAAAATTCAACACAACACAACACAAAGGCAAACCTCAAACCACTGTGCTATGGCACACTATACCCTCACTCAGTATGTAGGAGCAGACCGGGGTAATTAAACCACCAAGATGCCCAACTCCAAACTGAGTATATGCATAACAACAAGTTAACGAAGTAGGAAGGCAAGCAAAGCAAACAAGTCACTACACTGTGCTCCAGCCTACCCATCTTTTTACACACGGATACTTTATCCTATGCTTGTGACCTAAAGTAAGTCAAACCCTTGACAGACTGACTAAGAACAAAAATTCCAAGCAAAATAGATTTGTACATTAGCAGCATTGGAACGGTCATGTAAAACAAGGATTTCTTCCACTATAGTGTGGATTGAGAATTAGGGTTGGTTCAAAGTACATTGCATTAGCCATGTCGTGCTATGTCCTTTTGCCGCATGGTGAAGATAAATCTATTTCTGTCCTCGCTGCTCTTTTGCAATGGGGCTATGTTGAACCCAACCATAGTTGTCTAAACTGTTTGGTGCTATGTGGTTAAGCACAAGTATGCATACAGAGTGAAAAATGTGCATGGGTCACAAAGTGCATGCCTTAATGCTGGTTCACATTATTGACTAAAGCCCTTTTTGAGGTGTCATTGAAACGTGCAGCTTGACACAAGAATAGACTTAATTTCTATTCCTTGCTTGACAACTCAAGCTGCTGGAGGCACATCAATTTAGAAATGCTAATATTATGAACCCTGGGGAGATGGTGGGTAAAGCACTATAAGTTAGGTTTGTATATACCTTCTGTAGTACACTTCCTTACACTTCTTTCACTTACAACAGCATGCAAAACTGTCTAGACACGTTTCTCACACTGTTCAATTCTATATCCTTGGTTTCCAATGCAGATTGTTTCATGTCGAGTTGTCGCCTCAAATCATCCAACTCCTTCTGCAATCTCTGATCTTCACCGTCTGTTTTTGCATCTTGTTTCCATAGCTTGTGTATTTCATCTTTATTCAGTAAGGCGATAACATTATGTATCAAAAATGTTTTCTCATCAGTGGCTATCTTATGCTACTTGTGGGTGAACAACTGGGATTGGAGTTGGTTGCTATATATAACATTTAAGCAAACCTCTTAGTGTTGTGTGCTGTCTAAGAAATGATATATCAGTTGGAACATACCTGTTGAGTGAAAAAGGTAGGTAGCACAGGGTTCTCAAATGAATACTGGCTTACTGTTGTAACAAGGTGATTAACTGAGTCATAATTTCATCAAATTCGGCAGTAAATTCTTTTTGCAGCGCCTCTCTCTCATTCGAATGAGAATCGCATTTGACATCGGTGTGAGGTGCAGGTGTGAAATTTAAATTCACTTTAAAACCCGAGAATGCCTCATCTCCCTCATTATGCCCAATTCTTGCATGGCTTTCCCTTGCAGCACTTTTGTTCCTCATGAGATTGGCTTTCATGGGAGCCCTCACTGATGAACCACTGTGTGCTAGCTCCAGTAACTCGTCTGTATTATCTTGTAGGGCTACCGATCAATTATTACATTTCAGTGTATATACAACAAACACAGATGGACAGACATAAACTATATTATTCTGTAGATGAAAGGCACGAGGGACAGCACTTTGATAAAACTAGGTATGTACAATAGACCTTTGATGAAAAAATTTATAGTATGCGCTTTAATGTCAAAGATGCATCTATACCTTGGTGTGGAGCAATAGTATGAACCATTTCGGCATGCAGTGCACCACTATAGGAATAAAACACATATATACGTAACCTTTTTTACAAATATTATATCCAACTTTACTGCTTTTTTTGTTGTTCACTGCAATTGGGTTTGCCAGTTCTCACATCTGGCTGTGCATCTGGCTGTGCAAGAACAAAATCAATAGATCATACGTGATTACTCAACTGAGCCAACCAAGCAAGCTTGAGCCGTCGTAAAGTGCATTATGGCAGCCTTTCGGTCACTGTCAACAACAGCTCGTTCATCTAGCAAACACAAGTATATAAGTGCATTTCCACTTTAACACACAACAAAAATGTATGAACCAAGTGTGCGTAGATGAAGTAGCATATGAATGAGAAACAGCCGGTAGTCTGGCTCATGGTGTGTCACTGGATTCAGTCTGAGGTCAAGTTCCTGTTAGCATAAGTTACTAACTCATGTGAACAGCATACGACATGCATCTCACTATAAGTTTTGAGTTGTGATGAAGCAGATAAAGGTCTTTTAATGATGATATCTTGTTATAGTAGCTGCGTAATTAATAAGGATATCTTGTATTACGCTGTTAAATACAAACTGTTTGTTGTTATTTTTAAACCTTCATGCTTTACACTAAATGATGTAGCTTCAGTTATACATGTTAAGAGATTCCAATTGCTCTAAATGCTCCAAACCCTGCATTGCAAAAAGGAAAGAACAAGAATAACATACATGCATGAATAGCGACTACATGTAGAAACTACCTGTAGAGACTCTAAAGCATTCCTTGAGAGGTCAAGATGTCTGAGTTGAGTAAAGCTCAGCAGGGATCTTCCCAGATGTGTGATTTTGTCACTGTATCCCCCAGGTAACACCAGGGACTGAATATTTTCTACATTGAACAGAAATGTACACAGCATTCTATGTGGTGCACTCTTGCTATTATTATAGGCCAACCACATGATGTTAGGACAGACTGTTGTGGTATAGCGTTGTGTTAGAGTCACAGCTTTTTCAAAAATTGCCCTGTCTTGGACTGGACAAGTTATGGTAAAAAATACTATACAATAGGCCGTACAACTAATCGTGATTACCAACCAACACTTACATGAAGCCCCAGCAGCCCTTCTCACACTTCTTTTTCTTCCTTCTTTCTATATGTAGTATGTAAGTAAAGCGTGAGCTGTTATTTTTACAAGGTGGTAGGACAGTAGGTCTTGCAGGTTCATTGCACCTCCCTACTGACCAATACCTCATCTCACCTATGAAACAGGAATGAAAAAAAGTACAGGAGTCGAGTCACCAGATGCCAAGGCTTGGGCGGTGATCTTTCCCAACACACTTGGCTCCCTAATGGTCATGTTCAGCAGAACCATGTATACTAGTGGAATGCTAGGCATTATGGCGAGTGGTAGCGAACCAACTTGTTTGTTTTGTTGAGGGTGGTTTAATTTTCATAAAGTGATGCATGATTTGTGAGACATACAATAATTTAAGAAGTGAACACATGGCTGTCTCAAATAGTTACTATCAAGGTATCACACCTTAGTATGTTGATGGTGCACGTGTTTCAGCTGCAAGCCGCTGCTATTGTCGCAGTTGCAATTGATGCAATCATGCATTCCTCTTCAGTTTGCAGTGCTCGTCTTAGTTGCATACCAGTTCTTAGCTGATTGAGGTGTGCCTCCCTGGTTTGCGAGGTTTTTGCTGTACGGAGTGCGTGCGCGTATTTAAAAATATGTGGAACATACATATGGCACGGTGGTCGGTTGGTCGTTACATAAAATGTTGCCAGTGGCTCACAAGGGTTGGCTTCCTACCGCTCGCCAATTATACACAACAGCCCCAAAGCATACATACCAGTATGATTGTGACAGCTACCGTCAAGATTTGCCCAACCTCCAATTGAAGCTAGCCTACACCCCAGCTGACCATGATTCGAGCACAATAAAAGAATGTAAAAACTTTCAGATGTGTTGAGGTAACATGCATGAGACCCATACATGCACAAAACAGGCCAGATAGTTGGTAAGGGAAGTCTGCCAAAACAGACCTGTAACTTCGGAAAACGATTGGCTCTAAGGGTTGGCAAAATGCCAGTGGGGAGTAGTTGGCTAGCTAGCCCTACTTATTAGTGGGTGTAGTCTTTGTACGGCATGGGTTGACTAGTCACTCCCAACACCCCCTATACATGGTTGCCTGGCTGATCTCATACCAAGAGGATTCTTCGTTAAATGTAGCTTCTCTCTAATCCATTTCTCGGTGACACAAAAAACAGGACCTGTAGCTCCTGCAATATATAATACGCCCCTGTGCACATCTAGAGTTTCATCCATCGCCGTTGCTCTCCCATGCAATTAGTGTGGGGGCTGTGCACTGTGACCTGTGCACGTGGATTACAGTCCGCCTGATCTGCAGACGTCGGTAGCTGTGTGCGAAAGGGGGATCTAGAGACGCCAGTGTGGTGTGAAAGGGGGATCTCTACGTTAAAGAAAGAGGAGTACTGGGAACCTATCATGTGATGGGTGCCTATAGTACAGCTGTGATTGTGACTGATGTTCTTCTGAGGAGATTGTGTCTTCCGTTGGTCCTTGTGGCGTGTAAGGGAGCGATAGCAAATTACTAGCATCTGTTCTAGTTAGGATGGCTGGAGAGGTATTAGCTGTTTATTTTTTATTCAGAAACCGCTGTTTGATGCATGCTTGTATTGTGTCTCTGCAGCGGCAGTTCTCCGGTACAATGTGCTGTCTCTGGTGAATCTTTTGTTATTTCTTGTCTCTCTTCTGCTTCCTGGACCTCATCTAAAAGCTCAGAAAGGTAGCTCAACTCTGTGTATTTGGTTTGTTTTTTCTTAGCCAAAGCACTGTCCAGTTTATTGGCGAGGGAGGCGAGAGCCCACCTAGAGCTAGTCTGAATATGCTGTGGTAATTTTTCCTATTGTGTAACTTTCGTCAAGCTGGAAATTTGACTTCATTTGTCCCGAAAGATGTAGGGCCCTTGGACGTGTGCATAGCGTGTGAAAGAGTCCTGGTTGAAACGGAGACTCAGGTATAGCAAACAACACAGGGACGGCGACACGATTTGCTGCTTACTCAGTACACGTTTATACCTACATCTGGGCGTGTGTTTGAGCGTGACATATCTCGTCATGCGCGCCCGTTCCTGCATATGCGTGTACCGGTGGCGGTGCGAAAGGGGGATCTCTACGATTAAGAAAGGGGAGTACTGATAAGGACCCAATGGAGAGGAAACTGAAAGAAGAATGGTGCAATTCCAGGTGATCTGCATCCAGCATCCAATTCACTGTGTAGCTTGAGAAGGATTTGCCTTCCTTTCATGGATGTCAAGATTGAATGGACTAAATATGATTCACTCTCTACATCGGCATTCAGGAAATCCACACACACACTGACCATACCTCAACTTCGTGTCTCGCAACTCATTATCCAACAAGAGAGCTGTTGTCAACACCAGAGCATTGCAATACAAAACCCAGAAACTGGCTGTACTGCTCTTCAGAGGAATGGTTAACCCATTCTCTCTTCTCAGCATTCACAGGCTTACATGGCTGGAAGTAGTGGCTGTCTTGCCTCCATAGTGCATAATGCGTACTTTGACCCCACAACTAAGTTTTTTTTAGATCTTGAGATCTTTACCTTCGAACCCTAGGGACCAGGTATATACTAGCTCTCCAAAGTTCTGGAGTGGTATATAGAATGCCCTGTGTTCATTGTTTACATCTGTCAAACAGGTTGTAGACCTTTTCAATGTATTACTGAACACAAGAGAGCATTAAAACAAGTGGAATTCAATTCTTCAGCTCTGTCTGAGCATGCCTGGTCATCGTGTCATCCTGTTGACAATGTGTCTGTCCTTGTTATTCCCATAGTTTTATATATGAGTCATTCTTCATTAGCTCCACAGCACATGCCTTGCCGCAGGGTCTCTGCCTGCAGAGTATGGTATAGACTATATATGAGTCACATGCCTTGCCACAATGTCTGCCTGCAGAATATGGTATTGTATGAGTCATGCATGAGACTATTAAAGTGCTGCTGTAGAATTATATCTACCTGTGTGGGAATTTGCATGTCCTTTTATTATGTTCTTAATTGTGTTCACCTCTTATCCCTCTAGCTTCATCATTGGTGTATCTGAGTGTGGTAGTGGTATGGTCGTTTCTGGCTACATTGGGACAATCTCTTTTTCAGATAGTTCTGGCTACTGGCTACTCTGATCGACTTCAACCATGTTAGTCATTATTGTATTGGTCCATACTGTATAGTGAAGGCTTGAAGCGCTGTTTTTCAAGTATGATGTGTCGGTGCCCTTCATGGTATAGAGTCCATTAGTAAAGGACTGTAGCAGTTGAAAACGTTCAATGCACCTCGTGTTTTTATTCAATGGTTGCTTGCTCCCGTGCTTCATGTATCCATCTTAAATTGTATAGCAAAAGCTTTTATTCCCAGTCAATCACGTCTATACAGCTTCAACGCATGCATTCTCAGCATGTATTGGCTGGCATTGTTCTTTGGAGTCAATTGTGTAATGTTTTTTATTTCTGAATACTTTAGGTAACCAACAAGAAAGCAGTTGGAGACAGTTTGGATTGATTCTGTGAGTCAGCAAGATGTTTGCAGTAAACATGATAGTGGACTATTATTAGGCATGTCCTATTCTTGCAGAGGTTACAGGGAGCGATGAATAACAGTCTAGTTCTGTTCTGTCACTCCACGCAGCCCCGCGAGCACGCCTTTGTACTGTGTATTTAGAGCTAACGAAACTGAGGTTGTGCAACTGTGTTTTTTTACCATGCATGCTGCATGCACCTACATAGTTCATTATTGTAGCAATTTTCTTTTTTTTTAAGGTTTCATGGAACAGGAGTAGATGCTGCGGACATTGTCCGGCATATTTTGCCTGACTTTGTGGTGTTTCTTGCTGCACTGGCAAACCTCGTGACCAGTGGTTATATTGTGGCTCGTATAAGAAAGATGGACCGGATTAGTGGAGTTGTTCTTCAAGAGGAATGTCCAAGTGTCCAGGATATTGAGAGTGAAGGTACAAAAACTCATTTCTGTCTGGAGGTTGTAGCTCAATGTGTAGTGCACTGGATTTCCAGTCATGATGGCTGAATTCGTCTGGTGACTTCTCTCTCTTCCTGCACTGCCTGTTGATTTCTACTGTTCTTCAGTTATCAATCTACCAACAAACTTAGGATTCTAGTGTACATGTAATTTATAAACCCCCTGCCAAGCTGCTGGCATTTTTGTTTGATATTATCTTTCTGTTACAAGGTGCGACTCGACCACTTCCCACCCCTGGTTATCCATTGCATATACAAAGCTATTGGCAACTCCCAAAGATTGTCGTCCTACTCTTTGAAGTTTCCACCTTCATAACTCTATGTCTTTCAGGTACAGAATAATATGCAAAGTGCAGTTTTGTAAAGGTGCGTGCTAGCAGTGTGTACTATCTATAACTACCCGTGTAAAACAAAGCGCGCATACTGCGCATTATTTCGCGGTGGTTTACTACGCGTTGTCACACGCTATTATGCACGCCGTGGGCGTGTCATTACGCGGTTCAGCGTAAACAGGCGTAGTCGCACCCCCAAGTATTTACTGTTCCGCACAAACATGGGTGTGTCAGTACGCGCGTTACTACACGCGAATGCTAAATCTGGCGTGACTTCCCGCTTGAGTGAGTAAAAGCGCGATATTTTGCAACCGTTGCTGTCTGTGCGCGCTTTTACACACATTATTTTACACGGGTAGTGTCATCCCCAGACTCCCTCTGTACAATTAGAATCACATGTTAGAATTTCACTCTCCTCTGTACAAATGAGTACAGCCCTAGAATGAAGGCACCTCTTTATACTCACTAAAACTCTTAAAAATACAGACACCACCACAAATAATTATTGACACATCTATTCTAAATATACCGAACGTAGATTCAGGTCTCATATTCTCAAAAACCCAACATTCGTGTGTTTTTTTCTGTGAAAGCCTGCTTGACGTAAGAAAATGTCGACGATGTATGGGCAAGTGCTGAAGATCAAAAATGCTTCTGTCACAGGAGCATTTGATAAGAACCAAAGATAGTTACGTCTGAAATTTCATTCTAGGATAATATTATATTAAAACGCATCTCCAGCTCAAGAGGAAGATGCCTTCTCCCGAGTGCCGAGTGTGTCCTAAATGGCTTGATTGCTATTGTCATGGAGCTTGAAGTCATAGAATCAAATGTACAGCACAATATCTCTATATTGGTGAATTGAGCATCTGTATTCTCACAGATTCCAAATTATATCCATAGGTGAAGCGCTGTTGTGTACCTCATTTTTAGGAATATCATTTTATTTTCAGTGTAGCTGATTGCTCACATCTCTGTGAACACTTTAAATTAAGAAAGCACTACTAGAGGCTATATGCAACTATCTGTATTGTTTTTCAGGTGTGGCTGTACCATCCCTCACATCTTTTACCTACTATGCGATGTTCTTACTCATTCTGGCTGCATGGAGTTGCCATCAAGCAGTGAAGTGGAGGGGCTGCATACGTGTTTTGCGCTGTTGTATGACTTTCTACACCATGCTGCACCTCATAAGCCTTTACCTTTACCAGTTTCAAGCTGCCCAGCAGAACATTCCTATTAAACCAGATGATACCAGCAAGAGTTTACTTGCAAGGTAAACCCTTGTCAATAGCATTCTACATAATAATTACTTTCTGCTATGCTTGTATCATTTGTACTTGTAGGCTTTTTGGACTTACACCAATTATCCTAACAGACTGCGAGTACCCTACTCGTCTGCAGTTACACCATGGCTTGGAAAGCACTGTGTTTGTTAATGCTGCTCTGCTTGTACTGCTTTGTCTGCTGCTAGCCACCGATATGAGGCTTTGGATTAACACACCAGTGAGCTAATATTTTTATCTGTGAAAGCAAAATACTACTATGCCACTGGAGATGGTCTCAGTTAACCGACTGAAATGTGTGGCAAAATGATATTTTTGTCCCTTGTTTGGCTAGTGCTCATAGAATAAGTTTTTATTATCCTGGGGAAATGCTGGTGTTTCTACCATGCCATTGTATTATTAGAATTATTGGAGTGACACGTTTTGTTATCCAAGTGTAACGAGACATTGTGCATTTTAGTACAGCTGCGCCATTGTGATACATAATATCCTTTATACTGTAGGTTTTCTTAGCAACATTATTAACCCTTAGCGTACTTGGCACGGTACTTGTTTTATGTGTGTGTGTATCCATGTGTGTTCTGGCATGACAGGGCTGTGGGATCACCAACGAGCAATAATATCAGCATCATTGCCATTTATGCATTGTTTATTGCTTTTCGGTGAGCATTAGCCAATTTCTCAGGCAGTATAGTATTGTGCTTCTGTAGCAGGGTCGCTTCTCAAAGTGAGTAAGTTGATAGTAGTATAGACTTACATAGCCAGAATGAGTGCAGATTCTATGTAGAAGGTTCTGGAAGGTACAAATGAGTGTATGTATGTGTAAGTACTGTACTTCAGCAGTTTATTGTAAGTGAGGTCTTACTAGTCCTCGTACAGTGCCATACAGTCTGTAGTCCTTAGTCAGTTTGGAGTCCTTCTGCTCCCTCCTCTGTTTCGTACTTAATAAAGGCACTGTACCAATCAGAAACAGTCTGATCTCCTAGTGGGTAGTGGCTTGAATGTTGGACTTGTGGTTGGGCTTGCAGGGGTTGATGAGGAAGGTTCCTGAGAAGCAGGGTATAGCTGGAGTGGCAGCAACTAGTCATTTTCATCGTCGTCCACAACCTCTTTCTCTGGAGCTTGCTGTGAGCATTCGGTTGTGATGGGCTCTGCTGGTGAATGTTGCTGATCAATAGTTAACCTAATGTCAGGTGGGGCAAAACTTGAGCAATAAAAAGTGCACCACAAAATGTTTGTACGGTTCCTGAGAGATCTTATGCAGTAGACTCCATCCAATAATATGCCGTCCATGGATTGTGTAACGTATTTGACTGGCTGCGTGGTACGACCAGACTTGATTGCCACTCTCCCTCCATTGAATGCACTTATTATAGAACTCTTTGTTGGAGGTGTAGTCAAGTCGATGATCCTACCAATTTAGCCGGCAATTTGATTTCAACTGTCGGCCTAGGTCAGAGTGTTCAGGGGTAGAAAATCTCAGAACTATTAATCCACTAGAACTCAGGCTACTGTTGATGCTTCCTGGTTTGGAATATATAGGTTGGGTTTCCATCCACCGAGTTGACATCATAATTATGAATTTCCTGACTCTGTCTCTGGCAGGGGTCCCAGGATGTCAACGGTCACAACATTGCATTGGATGTCCCTCAGAAATATTTCCTAGTAGTGTTTTTTTTTGTTATGGCTTACTTGTTGCACACTTTGACAATTTTGCCACCTGTTACCTTAGTGTGACTTTTACGAGTACTTAATTTTGCAGTTTTGCTAACCCTCACATGTGGTTGGTATTAATTTTGACGAGTGTTTTAGCTGAATGCACACTGCACACATAAATGTAGTCAGGTGTAACAGATAAGTGGCTGTTCACTCTGCTAGAAGCAAAATGCTCTCTTTAACTCACATACGTAGTTGTAGAGTGCATGTGTGAAGTTGCATAGCCTTCGGCCCTCTAATGGTGCGTGTATATTTTAAAATGCGATTTTGCTTGCTTCTTTAAATTTCGCATTAAAATAGTGCCTGTAGAAATTGTCATACTAAGATACTCTGGTCATTCCTCTGTCCACACTAATAACAATGTGCCCTGAGACAAGCTATGGTCTGTTCTTGCCCATAATGAGCACCAGACACTCCAGCATGCACTCCTAAAACAACAAGCTGTAGGATAGATGACAATCCGTTTGCGGCTTCTTTAAACAATGTCACAGCTGAATAGTTGCCTGGTAGGTAGAGGGATGCTTTGAATCTCTTCAGAATTTGATCTTTCGTTTATCTGCTTCGCTTGTAAAACGGGCCTGATGATGGGGTCGGCTAGTTGCTCTTTGCTGAGATCATCAGTTGTTTCTTGTTGGAGGTAATGCAATGGGGATCATATCCTCACTGCTAGCAGTTGGAACTTCACTACTTCCACATTGTCAGCATGGTAGTCTTGATAAGGCATCTGAATCGCAATGTTTTTGCTAGGTCTGCGCGCATCAATGAAATTGTAATTTTCTAGCTGCTCGAGCCATCGCACTAGTTTGCCTTCAGGTTGTGTGAAATTCAGAAGCCAACTTCGTTATCCATGTTCAGCCAAAGAGTGTCTCCCGAGAAGGTGTGGATTAAAGTGGCAGATGTAGTGGACTGCTTGGGGCAGCTCCTCTTTGTTATGCAGTGTTGTTTCTCGACCTTGCTCAATACTCTGCTTGCATAGGCAACAACATGCTCCTTCCCATTGTCTTGAACCTGTGAGAGAGTGGCTCCTACATATCTAGGTTGCTTGCATCCGTGTCGAGACCAAATGCTTTCTGGAAATCTGGAAATGCTAGTACTGGTGCAGTAATTAGGAGTTCGCACTGTGTTTAGTGAACCGTTACATTCTGTAATCTCCTTCATATTCTCTGCTAATTGGCATAGAGGCTTGGGCACTTTCGTGAGATCCTTTACAAAGCATTGGTGGCTCAAGACGACATTGTTTCTCATTGGTCAGTTCAGGCGATTCAGCTACCTTCTGTGTCTTAGCTTTGTTGGTAAGTACTCCTTAGCAAGGAGTGGCCAGGAAATTCATATGTACTGACCAAGGAAGCACAAATGGAGCTTGAGACCAGCCTCCGTAAGTTTGAAGATGAGGGATTTCTTAGATGCTCTTCCAAGTCATAATCACGCCAGGTAAACTAAACAACTACATCACTTAAGAGTACAGTATTCATTAGGCATTGAAAGGTCGCAGGAGAGTTGGAGAGCTTAAAGGGTGTCACCCTTAGACTAAAATAAACCCTCTGTTGTACAGAATGCTGTCTTTTTGATGTCATCTTGGCAAACCTCCCGGCCTGTATCCACTGATCAATCGACGGTCATGAACCACTGAGTTGGGGAGCATGTCCAAAGAGTATTTTTGATCTCGGGAGCAGATAGGCATCCTTCCGTGTAACTGCGTTCACCTAGTCTATGCATCCCATCCTTTTGGACTAAATCAATAGAGTGAGAGTAGAGGGTCGGATGACCATTCTCAGCATGCTATCCAGAAGATTCTTCATTTCTTCTCTTTGTGCAGCAGGGACCCGTCACTGCATCCACAGTATTAATGGAATATGTTTTTGGCTAAAGTTGGTCTTGTCTTGAGATATCTGGTAACTGGTAGGAATACTCATTTTTAGTGTTTTCTAGGCTTTTGTTTCTCTCTACCATGTTCCATCGTCCTTGTATATCTGGCTCTCTGCTGGTAGTCCTGTTAGAGCTGCTACAGTCACAAAACCGATGTGTATGATGTCGGTTTCTCCAATGATGGTGATCGCTTCTGCTCCTGGGTTAGAAGATTCTCCCTTCGTTGGGCTGACAACAGCGCTTGGCATCATCAAAGATAGTTTCTCACTCTGCTCCAACCTCAAGATCCAGTTCAGCCTTCGCCATGACTGTCATCTCACTGGCAGGCGTGGGCTTTAGTGCATTCTATAGAAGCTCCTGATTTAACTATCACTTGCTTGGTGAGGGACTCAATCCTTGGGAAGTCCAAACTTTTTCCACTTCGATTGTAGCTGTCAAAAATGTCCATACTCAAGGGTAGCTTCAGCCGTAAGCTACTGGAACTCATGTGGATAATAAAAGCTTCAGCCATTGTCAATGTCACAACCAGAGACATCGATAGGAGTCCTGTTGGCTCCAACAATTGCAGTGTCCTTCCACTGTTCTAGTTTGGTTCGTGAAAGCTTGGCTTTGTCACACAGTTCCCAGGGTACACTGCACCAGTGTCAACGATGAATGTAGCTATGTGTGTTGTTCACTGCTCCCAGCTATGTTATAACCCACATTGGGGGAAACTGAAAAGAAGGAAAGTGCCGGGTTATTGATTTGCATGACACCCGCCTGGTCTGTTACAAGGAGGGTTAGTTGTAGGGTGGGTTGTGTGTGGAGCACTGATAGTAGATTACAACACTTGGTCCGTAGTTAGGAGAGTTAGGTGTTTCTCTTTATTGCACATCTATAGGCATAGGGTCCTTCTCTTCTGCCACCATTCAGCAATATAGAGCTTCATCCTTTTTCTGTCTCTTCACTTTTGTCCCTTCCCTGTACTTCTTGCTCTGCTCTCCAGAACAACTATCTCGGTGGTGTCGTTGTGCTGTTAAACCGTGTTTTTGGGTTTCTAGGCACTCAATCCTCTCCACAAAAAAACTGTGAGCGCTGTCATCGAAATTCCTTCTGGCAATTTGTCCTTACCACCTACAGAACCGACTATGGCCTCTTCCACAGGTAATTAGGTTGGCAGCTCTGGAGACACGAATCCAACTGGCTTTTCAGGCTGGACCTTGGTAGCAGGGTTGGGTAAACAGCCACTCGCGGGTCTTCTAGGAGATCTGGGTTCGCCTTGTCTGCGAGAATCAGTAAATCTTTCCCCGAGGTTGGCCCAGCTTTCTCTTTGTTCCTCTTTTATTGTCTGGAATTCCACAATGTACAGCTTACAGTGTGATTCAGGATCTGTAACGCAGAGATTTTAGGTGCAAGGATGTTTCACCCTCTGGGAACCTCTTGATTGCTGTCAGAGCAGAGACAGTCAGTCGTATTTTCAGCCGTCAGAGTTTTTCAGCATCGTTCTACTTGTTTTTCGCCAGTACACACAACTGTCACAACTGTCACTCAATCCATTGAGATTGCCTTCTCGGGAGAAGACAAACCAAGGGGAGTGCTGCTGGGCAGTCCTTGATGCAGATCCTGGCATGGTCATCTAAAAGAGTTGAGTTGATGTGTGCTGACTAGGCAAATTGTAGAGGAGCCGCTTCTCAAGGTGGGTAAGTTGAATCGACTTATAGCATAGAGACCCAGCCACACGGATAGACTTACAAAGCCAGGATGAGTGCAGATTCTAGATCGTTCTGGAAAGTACAAATGAGTGTATGTATCAATATATGTAGTTCAACCATCGGTGCATATTCGGAGCGAGAGTTACCGTACTTGGTTCCTAAGTGTGTGTCTGTCTATTACCACGTTTTCTGACACCAAGTGCAGCAAACCAACCAAAAAGCAATACTGACGGATTTAGTCTGGCTTGATTTTAAATTTTCCAATAAAACTGCTGCTTTGAAAAGTTACGGCGTGAAAGAAACAAATATTCAAATTACTAGTATCTTAACTCGACCGAATTCCACCTTTTTTCGCCTGTTGAGGCATTAGAAAATAGAACAAAGGGTGTATGTCGAGTCTCGCAATGCCTGAAGTGCTACCTACTAGTCTAACTAGCCCAGATCAGCTAGCGACAGATGACAATAGTGTAGCTCAGCCGATCAATTAGCGGTTCCGACCTGTGCATCGCCTAGAAAGCAGAGTGTTTTGGGTTTGAATCCATCCCAGGGCGGCTCTCTTTTTCCTTGGAAAAAAGAGTTGTCCTTGATGCAGTTGACTTGTTTGATTTGCCTTTGCCTTGTTACCTCGTTGTTGTCACATGCGTATGGATGCAATACTTATATGTGCGTGTATCTCGTAAGCCGAGGGTTTACACTTAAGTGATTTTCATTGTAAATGATTTTGTGTGTGATCTTGTTAGTCCTCATACAGTCAGTGACTGTTGTGCATGAGGTGATGTAACAAAAACACACCTAGAATGTTTTAACATGTCACCTTTGAATCAATCATACACTGCAATCCATAACTTAAATATGTACATTTAGTAATAAACTACCACTTGTGTGGTAGTCGTAATACTCAAATGGCAGCCATCACTGTAATCCAAGAGTCATAGTTAAGAACATTAGTGTCAAACTATGAACAAGGGGTGGCGAAAACTAAACACTCACCACTGCAGTCATTGGGCACTGCTATTTGTGCATGTGCTCTTTGTGCCGAAGGTTTGCACTTTAGTACTTTTATTCCTTACAAATGCTCAAGTTATTTTAGTGTTTTTACCCCTGGCAATTGACTCATTGAATACACAGGAAATTTTATGGAAAAGATGTGAAACCTACCATTTGCCAGTAAGGGACTCACTACCTTCACCTACACTCCATTTGGTTTCTAGTGGAAGATCGTCGTCACCTGTAAGCTTTACAATAATTCTAATGCTACCAGTTGCTGCACATGTTACTTGAGAGTCTGAATGTGTATAAGTTACTATCGTGCTGTTTTTTTTAAAGTGAACACTGGATTCCTTAGTCTTTATTCATCCATCACATGCAGGTTCAGTGGAGTCAGTATGGGACTTACAAGATTAGAGGATCACACAGACAGGTAATGTCTTATAGTTACTCCACTATGTGGTGCTTAATTAGTAATTTCTGAAGGAACCGGCAGTGGAGGGTGTGTCAGAGGAAGATGCCGCTGAATATGTTGGGTTTAAAGAGGAAGAAAAAAGAGAGGGTGATACCTATGGCAGTAGTGCGGCTTCTGAACATGCAAGGAGACAATGCACTTGGAAGGATATAAGAAGAAGAAGTTTGCAATTCGTTAAAAGCTCCTGGCACGTACTGCTACAGATATCCTATGTTCCTGCAATAGTTTGCATGATGGTTAGCTTTATTATTGTTTTTGTCCATTGTTTGGTATGTGTTTCAACCTCTGTGCTTTCCAGTGCTCACATTTGCAATGTTAAGTTGTGTTTTTTTCTGTCTTGCTCCCTACCCTCTTTGCAGTTTTGGTCTGTGTTGTACCCATCTTGGCCAGCACTGCTCCTGCTCTACTGGGCGTGTACAATATGGCTAATTCCTAAATTCACCCCAAAGAACTCTCTCTTCTATACATCACCAGCTCTTGTCGTATATGCAGTTTGTCTGCTGGTACTTCAGTATGTGTTCAGCTTAAATTTAACATCAAGTGAGCTTTCTCCTGTTGATGGAGTTGGTAAAGAATGTCATGAAAATAACACTCCTGGATGTAAGAGTTTTGTTCCTTTGATAAAGGTTGGTTGGAATAGTGTGGTAGGTGCATTTTAAGTTCCGAGAATGTGGCTTTGCATGTTGTTACTGTGTTTAATACCTAATTTGAGCTGTCCTTGGTGTTGTTGACTTTTTTGCCTTTGCCTTTCGATCTTATAGTTTACACAATCACATTTGCAGAGGCAGGCAAATATGTTTAAGTCATGCATATGTAATACCGTACAGTGTATATGTTGGGTGCAAAGCATGGATTCGGACAATCCATGGATAGAACTGCGCCCCTTCGCACAACAATCCATGGATTGTCTTCTCATTCCGTGGATCGAGCAGACCGAAGGGCGCAAAGTGTGGATTCAGGCAATCCATGGATTGAACTGAATGAAGCGTGGATTTGTCATAGTTGTGGCTCCTTCACGAAAAGAGCGCGGTCCAGGTATAGCCTGGCAGTTCTGTGCACGAGAGGTTGAAGCGTGTCGCGTTGCGCGCGGTCATATAGGACCAGAAACAGGAAGTATGCAGTGTACTTGTATAAACAGTTTACACAACGTCTCAGGAGAACTTCAGTCATAGTGGTGTAAAAACGACATTGTTACAGTTACAAACAAACCATGTAGCAATACCTTTTTTAAAAACAACTCTAGGATATTTTGACGCTTCTATGGAACCATTCTTGCACTGGACCATACCGATTTTGTTTTCAGGCATGCGTCAAGGGCAAAAGACAGGGATGTGAATAGTCTGTTTGATCTTGGCCGAAACCTTTGCGTGAGTTGCCAGGAAAAGGACATCCTTGAGTGGACGACCAATTGGTTAGATGTCGGCACATCAGTTTTTGTGTCCAGGAAAATCTCGTCACCTTGACACAGACATACAACACAGGCAATAGAGAACAACCCACATTCACTTATTCCATGTTGCATCTGCATATCCCGCATCCTCACTATAAGTTTAGCCTCCTTGGTGTGCAGCAGGTTACATATCTGTTGAATGGCAGACGGCGACAAGGTGCTGTATAGGCTATCGTAAATATTGACATGTCCAGGTTGACATCCTATTGTTGAGACACAAATCCAGTGCTTCTGGTAGTGAATGATTTGGATGCCTTCAGACAGCATGACCGATCGGGAACCCAAAATTGGAGTCTGCAGCCCATCAATGTGTGGATTTTTTCAGCGATTTTTCAGTACAGCATAAATGTGGCGGTCACTCTACCAGCCACCACTCAGCAGAGCTTTCTTGTCCTCTGGTTTTAGGAGTAAATCTTTCACCCACCAATCGGAAGGTGGTGGTGGTGAGAAAGATGATGGTCATATAGAAATTGGGGATTACTTGGCAGGAGACGGTTCTGGGAAATACCTAGTTCGGAATCCAAGTCAATACTGCTGATCTTGATTCGCTTTGGCTGTAGGTAGGGTGGTGAGATTCCAGAACCCGAGTCAGTACTGCAGATCTTCATTCGCTTCAGCTGTAGGTTGGGTGCGGAGGTGTCGGAACCTGAGTCAGTACTGTTGTTCTTGATCCGCATGGGTTCTCTTTCTGGGTTAGAATCACGACAGTTTACACATGATCTTCCTGAGTGGCGTCTTGTGGAGCATGGCTTTCCAGCCTTTCTATAAGAGCATTGATTTCCAGAGCAACCCTTCTTGCAATGGCAGGCTGCTCCGTAGTACGCATTGCTAGGATTAGCTGACTTAGCTGCCTCACGAATGCGTACAACTGGAGCCTTCTCCCAGTCTTGGATATTGCCATACTGCTGTTCACCAGCAGACGCCTCTAAGTCGCTCTCACGATAAGACCTTTCCAGTACGCTGTACTTGCACTGCAACCGGTACTGGAAATGCTTGTTCCTGTCACATGCAACAACGATGAAGGGAAGGCAGTGAAGGTCAGTAGCAGCACGGTCAATTCTTGGTACTCGCACAGAAACAACACCCCTGATCTTGAAAGTAAGAACTTTCTTCTTGTTCTGTCGTTCTTTCATCGGCTCAGCATTCATGCAGTAATGCTTGTCAGCTAGAACACGTCATTTGAGGTGCTTCTGTGATGTACCCATTTGGTACCATCGGATTGTATATACTTCTTCCATCAATGGTGAGGGATCATCAGAAGGGGCAGAAGGGAGAGTTGAATTAGTGTCAGCAGGGCAGAAGGGTGAGTTGTGTCAGGGTCACTATCTGTGTACATGCATAATTACACGTATATATAAAGCACATGTAAACACGTAATACTCCATAGGATGAGAATGACCCCACTCTACTTAGATCACTTCTGCTAATGTCTTCTTGTAGCCCATGTGGCAACGCTCCTCGAAGTGTCCACGGGACTTCACACCCAAAACTTGAAGTGCAAGTCATCTGATACATTGGATCTCGACAGGTGGGCATTGATCTCCCCCCCTCGACTACATGTCATCACTTTGCTCCCATTCTTCTTCTGTTGTATGAACGTATCCCTGATGTAGTCCTCGAATGCTTCTTGGTCAACCATGGTCATCACTCTTGGAGAGTGTCGCAGTAGCTAGCAATTCCATATCGTGTTCGTATGGAATGCCAAACGTAACAAAAGTACTAGTCGATCTATTTCGTTCTCAGGTTGACCCCAGAACGTTTTAGGTCGACCCCGCTCTATTAGGTCGACGTGAGAATAATTGTAGGTATATAGAGGTTCAGTGACCAGACAAATTTTGGGTCAACCCAGATACAGAGACTGCAGTACTGCGCTTTTGCAGGTTCTGTCTGCCTTGACTGGAAAAAAGATATGCTGCTGCTGTTTTTTTTGTTGTCGGTATAGGAGTCTTACGTACCTTTATGACTGCCGAGTTAAAGGTCGAGCTCTCCTCTGGGACTAGAACCAGGACACGGGTATGATGTCAATCCCACTATAACTGCTCAATATGGATCGATAAAGCCTAGTTGGTACTGTGTACCTACCTACATTCTTTTAGGCCAGTGCAATTCGACCATTCTTCAGAGAATCTGCCCGTATGTGCTACTCCGACCTGTCAGTATGCAGTGGAGAGGTTGGAGAACTGTGAGCACCTGCAGTGTAATAGAAAATTCAAACAAGGAGGATATTGACAGAAGGCTATAGTGAACGGTTTTCGTCCCTTCAGCTATTGGTTCATGCGCTACGTGTACAATGGGAGTCCTATTTGACATCAATGGAGCAATCCTCTTTTTGCTATCGACCAGGCATGGAAAGGGGTGCATTGGGGCATCCACGTTTTGTAATAATGACAGGATCAGTTGGGTGAGGTAATGGTGATGGGGAGAATACGCTCAATGGGTTGTTATGTTAAACGTTCCTGTTTGCGTCTAGCTTTTCGGGACGTAGATCCCATAAACAGAGCTCTAGTTAGGGAGGAAATGTCAGAGCTTGTCATGCATATTCCGTACCTGGACCAAACTCACTGTGGCATATCGGTAAGTGCTATTATACCTGGGTTACACGTATGCAGGTTATAATTATAGATCGATCATTGTTATGCAGATGGCCACCACAAGCTCATTTGCTGGAGGTTGGTGACACATGGCGCCATTGATGGATACAGCCGAATGATAGTCTTCATGAAATGCAGCACAAATAACCGTGCTGCCAGTTTTTGAAAGGTTTCCAACGGTTTGGTCTCCCATCCCAAGTACGATCTGATTATGGCAGAGAATGATAAATAAGGTGAAGGAAGAAACTGCATGATTACAAACCTTAACCAGTGGATTGAACAGCTATGGAGAGACCTAAACGAAGTTGTTTTACCGTCTCTTCTACTTCCCGGAATCCCATGGCTTATTGGAACACAACGATCCAAGGTGCCTGTTTGCTCTTGAGTATATCTTAAGTATGTATACCTTCCTCGTATCAATTGAGTCATATATAAACACGTTCGCTGAAGGATGGAACAACCATGGAATCCGTACTACTGGAAGGCACTCACCTTGGTAAATTTTTGTGTCTGGAACACTAGCTCTTCAGCACTCTGGACTAGTTGCAGTTGACTTTTTGCAGAATGTTGACCTTTCATATGGCATAGACAATAAAAGCCCTACTCCACTAGAGGAAGACCCAGGAGTAGTAGTATTAGAGAACACACTCTCACTGCCACCAGAAACCCTTTCTCGATTACAAGCATCTGTTGATCCTCTTGCCCCTTCTGACAATCATGGGATTGAACTTTATGAACAAGCCCTGCCCATTGTAACACAGAATGCATGAGTAATGCTGTTAATCACCTTCCCACACACTAAGTGTAATTCAATTGAGATTAACTACACATGCTAATGTATACTTACTAGAGCAAATGCAACACACTTTTGGCGAGCGAAGGGGATTCAATGAATCACACGCCCATTTAGAATCATGTAATATACATTATGGCATGTGGAGTCGGTTCACCATTACAGATGTATGCCGTATTCAGAAGACTAGGTGGGCTCACTTCGTTTGCCAACAAGTGTGCGACTTGGGAACTGCTCCAGGGTTTGGAAGCAATATTGCTGAAAAGAAATGGCAGGATCCCACAAGAGATATAATCACAAGATATGATGAAACCAAACAGCCTCAAATCTGAATCTTTTACGAGAGGGTTGACCACTGGGTGAAGCAAATCAGCACCATCAAAGTGCCTAGTGTAGAGGGCCTCGAAAAATGCCGAAAACATTTCACGCAATACACCCCCGGCGTCCAATGCTCTCTCTTCTCTAAAGGTGATGCTAAGAGGAATCTTAACTACCATTGTGTCGCACTTTGATCGAAACAGAGCCATTACACTGTCAAGGATATCTTCTCTTGACACGATGTGAGATTCACTGCTAATCAGTAGGAGGGTACTAATGAAATTACATCGTTCGAGCTCCACTGCAAAAGAAAAAAAATGTAGATTGTTGTATTATTAGTAGAAGAGGTGAACTGTCCAACTTTGGTCTAATACAAACCTGGAAAGTCAATTATTAAGCACTTTTCACGAATGACAAACATGGTCACGACAGAGGACTACTATACTACGACATTTGTATCTCAACATACCTCATTGTACGATTACATTGCTGCATTCTAATTGACGGGTAATGGTGGCTTGTAGTTGCTGGGGTGTCATGGTTCTCTTAAAACTTAGAGGTTTCACTCGACCCTGCTTACTCAAACTCTCTTTGTACTTCCCCGGAAGAAATATCACATCACGTGTAACAGAAAGCACAACACATTTTCTCTTCTTTTGCTGCTGAAAATTGAAACTTTTGTCTTGATGGTCAAACGACATTGAACGTTTTCTTATAGCCGTATTGCTTGGTACGAACAATTTAGCAAAGAGAATTTCGTTCGGTATCTGAAGGCTCGGTTAAACTTGAGCACAAATCCGGTTGGTTCTTCGTATAAGACTAAGTTTTGAGTCACGAAATGTACTGGTCAGCATTTTCATTGTTCTTAGCTCGTAACCCATGTTAATAACCTGTTTTTCTTATGGCATACTATGCACTGAGTAACCAACAGCAAATTTCGTGACTCAAAACCTAGTCCTATATGAAGTAACAAGGACAAATCCGATACACGTTTTTCTATAGCCTCCTCCTATAAAGAGAAACCATACACACAACATTATAACAGTATGGCATACAGCTGGGGGTGAACGAATCATAAACTAGTCCCTCTGTTTTAAATGCTCTTCACAGCCCTTAGTGTTTCCAACTGCTTAGGCATTATCTTTACCTTTAAGTGATTACCTATGAGCGAGGTAGCTAGTAACAACACAAAATCATACCTCAGGTGTAGCAGTTGCAACACGAAAAACCGACTTGTCAACAACCTCATCTCCTGGTTTTACATCAACAAAGACACCCTCCCAGGCTTTGCTCTTGACTTGGAGAATAAGTGATGAAGCAATGGCCTCGTCTGTCACTTTGGTACTACGCAGTATCACGTTAATGTATTCTCTGACCACACGTAGTTTCAGGCCATCAACTGAAACATCGTTGGAGAGGGTTAAGAGACGCTTACGCTCCCCAAGGCACACTAGCACTTGTAAGCCGCTTGAGACTTTATGGACGAACACACGTGTAAGTATGTTTTGCGCATGATCACAGGAGGGCCCGCTTGGGTCAACCCAATTTCCTTTTCTCGACCTAAAACTTTCTCAGGTCGACCTAAAAGTTCTGGGGTCTGCCTGAGACCGAAATAGGTCAACAGTACTTTTGTTACGTTTGGCGTTCCATACGTTCGATGCCACGTATATACCTGTACGCGTGTGCGCGCGGTTAATTGCGTGTTCCGGAGTTTGTGCAATTACGCTTGCGCAGGTGCTATTTGTGGGACAATTCATGGATTAGTGCGCGAAGCATGGATCTACGCTTTGCTTGAATCCATGCTTTGCTCGAATCTATGCTTTGCGCCCAAGTAGAGTTGGGTCATTCTTAGCGTGATTGACATGACTGTTAGTGTGAACCCTGTTTCAAGATCGCCAGGGTGTGAGCTGCCGGTTGGCAAGTACGAGCCACCCAAGCTAGAGATAGCTCTCTTCTAATACAAGGTCTAAGAGACAGGGATAGCGACTTGTTTACATAGTTGTGTTCATTAACCCTCGGCGCGCATGCGCAGCGAGGGTTATAGTACTTGGTTTGTCATTCCGTCCGTCCGTCCGCCTGTCTGTTACCACGTTTTCTCCCGCTACGCGCAACAAGACGGGCAAAAAGCGATGCCAACTTTTTCACTGGCTTTATTTTAAAAATAGCGATTTTGGTAAAAATGCTGCGTTCGAAAGTTATGGCGTGAAAAGCAAGTCAAGGAGCTAATATGCAATTAGCACTGGCTTACCTCGACCGCGTCCGCTCGCTCTGTGAATATTGGGAAAATGCTATTAGGCAGTCCAGCATTGCAAAATTGATAGCTAAGATGGATAACGTTCTTAATGTAGGATAACATTAGTAACCACAAAATCCTGTGTAAGCCTAGCTGCATTTGTCAATACCCAAATCTGTGTTAAGTGTATGTTATTATGGGAAAACCTCTGTGGAGATATTTATTATGAATTATAAGCCGAGCCAAGCCTTCAATTGTCATGTGCATGTGTATCCTCTCAATAAATGTTATAATACGTATGTACACCTCTTCTCTTTTGTACAGACTGCATTCACCATAGTTTTCTTCTGTGCACTACATGAGTTTGTCAGGATAAAGTTTAATAAACACACCCATATCCAAGATGACACTGCAGATGGTGAGATGCCTCTCATTCCCTTGCATGCGAAAGGTACACGTATTATGTTAGGCATTAGATTAGTAATCCCTCAATTTGAATCTAGTAATGTCATAATCTTTGTTCATTCAATATGTGAAGTTGCAGTATTGCAAAAAACTGACTACTTTTGTAGTAGATAAGACTGTTATTAAGCCAGCAAATTATAGGCATAAACACTATTAACATGTGTTTTTGCCTGAGGTTGTTTGTTGTTGTTTACAAGCTTTTATCGTGTACAAGTTTTTACCTGTGGGCGTTCGTTGTTTTCGCGCAAACTTGTCTTTAATGCATAATTTTGTGTACAATTTTTTTCCCGTTTCTTCCTGTTGCACTTTCTTTGTCTGTATTGGCTTGTTTTTTTTGTAGTTCACATGTAAACAGCATTGTCATGTCTGAGCATTGCTTAGCTACACCAGAGAACTGCGCTATGCTGTCTTATAGTCTACTTGTACACTGTAAAAGCTATCACACAAAGATTGTGAAATACTGTTGCAAAGGAGAGTGGCCCATGGCCCATGAGACATTTCAGATAAAACCTATGCAACATGCTATCATAATATCCATGCACACATTTGGTTAGCGTGTTAGCTACAGCCACACACTGTCCAATATGTATTGTAACTTTTCTTTTCGAAGTGTTTACTTTAAAAACAGAGGTTGTAAGTGTGGAATAAAGGGCATTTGAGTTAAACACTAAAATGAACTAGTAGGTAAGTTGATGTGAATTTATATGCAATATTTTTTCACTGCAGAGGACACAGGTAGGACTGCACCTGCTACAGCTGTTCAACAGATGGGGTCAAAGTTGATTACTGAAGGCTTTTATTTGCTCTCAACTTACTGGATACTGGTGGTAGTAGCAGCGTTTTTGCTGGTCTTTCTCTCTGGTGAACCAAGCGTGTTGAAGACGGTATACCTCATCTTCTTTTTTCTCTTCCTTGTCATGTATCAGGTAATTCATCTGATAGTAGTGTGTATGTTTGTGTTTAGTTTAGTCTTGTGCTTCTTGTAACTAGTTGCTGGTATCTGACTTATAAATTGAATATGCATTGGTCTTGTGTGTTGATAACCATTTCATAATAATATTAGCTGAAATTTTATGTGAGAAGCCAATTTTTGCTGAGTACTGTATTAGAGACTATGCATAACATATGGAATCGCTAACCAGACCTTCTTGTAAGTGGGATCTGGACATGGTATTCAGTTACTGAGTAATCATCCACCTAAACTTTGTCTGCCAATCAGTGACTGAAAGCTATATGCACATATACTTATGTCTATGCAGAATCAGTAATCCCCTTTACCAAACCAAGGTAGCATCTATATGCAATTGCAAGAACTTTGCACAGGGAGGTGTAGCAGTGTCCCTAGATAGGTAACCCACTGGTGCTGAAGCAGAACCAGACACAAATGAAGACATTACAAAATGGTAGTGGTATTGAAAATGGCTAAGGAGATACCCAGTACTGTCAAAGGACACTGTGGGTTTTAACCATAATATCCCGCGATAAGAAGTTCCACGTTGCCAATAGTGCATGCTGCAGACTGTTCGAACACAGACTACGACGATGCTCGCCAGGACTTATGCTCAGCCTAAGCGACCTCGGTGGTGGTTTAGGACTTTTCATGATGTGTTTTGAAAAGTCCTATACCACCACCGAGGTAGCTTAATGTGTAAAATGATCTCCCATGTTACACACCATGAAAAGTCCTAAACCACCACCGAGGCTGAGCATAAGTCCATAACCCACAGTGTCCTTCGGCGGTACTTGATATCCCCTCAGCCATTTTCAATACCACCACCATTTTGTAATGTATTAATGTGTATCTGGTCCTGCTTCAGAACCTGTGGGTTACCTACTGTAAATCCAGAAATGTTGGCATCCATTAATTTTAGCAGTTTCACCAATAGGTCACTTTTGGCCTCCATTAATTTTGCCATTTTTAAAGTTAATCACACATACACAGTATAAAGGTTCAGTCCCGATAAGTACTTGTGTAACAGTTACAAACAAACCTACATAGCTACATACCTACACCGTGCAGTGACAAGAAAACAGAGACTTTTGATCTGATTCCACATCATACCTGTTCACAACTGCTCCTACATGCTAAGTGAGAGTACTGTGCCATAGCACAGTGGTTGGAGGTTTGCCTTGTGTTGTGTTGTGTTGTAGATTCGAACCCCTACCAGCTGAGTTGCCCTGGTAGCTCAGTTGGTAGATAGTCGCCTAGACTGCAGAGTGTCGTGGGTTCGAATCCCACCTAGGGCAGCTCTTTATTTTTTCTTGGAAAGAAAGAGCTGTCCTAGGTGTAGTTGATTTGTTTGTTGTGCCTTTGCCTTTCTACCTCATAGTTTTCACATGCATATACTTGGCTTGGAGTTGGGCGTCATTGGTGGTTTAATTACCCCGGTCTGCTCCTACATGCTAAGTGAGAGTTTACTGTGCCATAGCACAGTGGTTGGAGGTTTGCCTTGTGTTGTGTTGTAGATTCGAACCCCTACCAGCTGAGTTGCCCTGGTAGCTCAGTTGGTAGAGCGCTCGCCTAGGCAGCGAGTGTCGTGGGTTCGAATCCCACCTAGGGCAGCTCTTTTATTTTTCCTTGGAAAAAAAGAACTGTCCTAGATGTAGTTGGTTTGTTTGTTGTGCCTTTGCCTTTCTACCTCATAGTTTTCACATGCATGTATCATGGTCAGCTGTGCCTCTTAAACCTACATCTACCATAGCCTATAAAAGTCATTTGACACTTTTGTGTATTGCCATCGCTCCAGAGATTTTATTATTACCCTCTGAGACTACTGCCGGTGAAGCCACACAGCGGCGAGATAGCCGCCACGCTACACTGCTAATTGTCATAGTCAAAAATCCCAGCCTTCTCAAACCCTCTAAAAATAGGAGAGGTCCTTCCCTGATAGCTGCTACAGTATAAGCCAATAGGCATGAAGAGGCTTTATGACGGGAGCACGTAGGTCAACTTGAATTTCACTTAGACTTTGATTATTGTCCAGTGCATCTGTGATCTGTCCCGCATACCACTGAGAGAAGCTGCCTTTCATGAGCGCCTTGAATTCAGAGTTGACACTGAGGTTGAAGGGCTGCAATTCACTTGTGCAGCATGCCGGAACAAATATCTGGTGATTATGGTTGTCTGAGAGTTTTTTAGAACAGAAGTGCACCTATGAGCTGCAAAGACCTCAAATACAGCTAATGCAACCTGATCCTCTGGGAGCTCAAGATTGGCTCTAGGGAATAATGATACTGTCAAGGAATTCTAGCATTGTTGACGCTGTACTCCTATGACTGTCTCTATGAGTAATGTTCCAGTTTGCTGGGAATGTTAGCATCATGCACGTAGCATGGCATCCTGGAGTTTTCCCTTGTAAATAACCTGGGGAGGGAGTAGTACTCCAGATGCAGAGATTGTTAGGAGGACAGTTATTTCCCGTTTGTCTTCCTTTCCCACCACAAGAACCTGCTTGCTTTCCTCTCCGGCCATTGTCCACTCCCCCACAGGTACTACCTTGGAGCCAGTTTGGTCCCAGTTTACAATCAAATCTAGTGGAATTCTATATTCTTGAACTTCGCTACGAATTCTCTCCAGAAAGGCAAGCTTTAGGTCAGGTGGTAGCTTTTTCGCTAATTTTGTGCTCTACATTAAAGGTACCTGTGACGCTTGAGGAACAATTCAGCCCACTTTATGCCAATCTCGATGGATCCACCGTGTTCTTTCAGTTGTGCGGGGCTTTCATGCATGACAATGTCCTTGGCAGCCGCCACTAGGATTGATTGATATTGATTTACAATCCCTCCTGCAATACGCAAGGCTTTAATGTACTCAACTACTTCGGCGTCTAAAGCATTCCCAAGAAGTAAGGGTCGACCAATGGACCCATGCGGTAGGGCAACGATATTGTTTGGACCTCAGTTTTCGCAGGTAGGCAGCCTTGATATTCCTGACGGTACTTTCACTGACGCTGTGTTCTAACTTTCGGGAAAAGTTAGTAGCAGCGGCTTTATTGCCATGCTGTTAGGCGTACTTGGCCATTTTGTCGCATACCTCAGTGGTGTAGTGATGATACTTTCCCCGATGCGTCGACAACCTTAGCTAGTCATTTCAGCCTCCACCTGCTCATTGGCTGCGGCTGGGACTGTCTGGCTTCGGTAGCAGAGGGTTTGTGGTGTCCGACTTGTTCTTTAGCCACGAGTGGAGCGACGGTTTGAGGCATGAGTCTATGTGCATGTGTAGCACTACGTCCAGCGCTGGCGCAGCGTTTCCCCGACAGTCTTCAAACATACAGATCCGAACTCTCTCATACCCTCAGCACACACACAATTTATACTGATGACTACACGTGATGGGGTGATCGGTGATGGGGTGATAGGTTATGCAATGATAGGGTGATTGGTTACGCAACATATGTGACATACACATGTGCACGATGAAAGGTCACCAGGAGGTCATGCACACAATGTGTTCCTGTTGCTATCCTTTTATTTAGCAAAAATTACTCCTCGCCAAATTCCCCAAAATTAATGGCCCGCCAACGTTTCCGAATTGACTGTTTTTCGTCGTCTCTGTCGGTTGGATACTCAACGCCCCTCCCCCACCCCCACCATGGTGGGTTGGATATGAATATGAGTATACCCTCGTGCACTACACTGTGTCCAAAAGCTACTAACTACTACTTTGTTACCAGAGTCAGAGAGAAACTTATGGATATACCGACATTTCAAGCTTTGGTGTCTGTTCATTTTATGAGGATCTTTTTCTGGTGTGTATGGCTCAGTCCAAGACAGACACACCATCCCTATTTATTTGATGGTGTTTATCCCAAGCATGCTCAGCTGGTGCAGATATCTTGGTCTAACATTTGATAACAAAGGTGTTGTCTGACGGTATTATGCGATTTTGAAGCAGTTAACTTTCTCAAGGATTCGTTTGATGTGTTGAGAAGTTCCTTTTACGCAGGGCATGGAAATAGATGTTATTAGTGTACCATTCATGGTGGAAATGACGTGAATTGCCTTTTGGCAAGAGCACTTGTAGCCCAGTTGGTACTCAGATCAAAGGTGCCGACAGAGTTGTTCCGCATAGCCCACTATGTTGAGTGTGAAGATTATTCATTGCTAATATGCCCTGCGCAAAAGGCATGAATATCATTAATAACCGTGTTAATTGGTGTATTTGCAATAAATAGCATTGTATAAACCCTGCAGTCGGGCTGAACTAAATGAAAACGGCTAGTTCTTTGACAATGTTGCTGGTTTTGAAGTTCTGTACATCATGGCAGCCCAGTACACGAAGCGCAGCGAGCGAGTCACGTCCTGAGCTTGAAAGGTAGTCAGTGCCGCAACTGTCATTACTCACGAAAATGCCGAGCTGGCAAGATTTCCTCGTGCTGAAGTCGTACGCGATGAATATGTCTTTTCCAAGCACAGACACCTTTTAATGAACGCTCCAGTGCGACATGATTACACGAATTGAAGATTGAACCCGCCAAAACGCTTTATGGAACCACACTAAAATCTGTTGTACTAGAGTACAAACCAGTTGTACCAGGCCGGATGCGGGTGGCTTGCAGTTATACGCTCTCGTGCAAGAATGGAATTATAACCCTCGGGCTGTGTCCTTGGTAATAATTGCATTCCTGCAATAATTTGCATGCCATCCTTACCGGCCTGTTATAAGTAGTAATCAGAATCTGTTGCATACAGTTTAAGCAGCATTAAAAGGCTTAACTTACTTGCTGCCCCATCAATGCTTCACTCTAGCTTTTGAGAGATCCTCAAAAAAGAAAGCATCGTCGGTTTGGCCTGAGTCATTGATCATACATGCATTGTGACTGCTATGCATAACCTGTGTAAATCTGCAGAATACCACACACTTGTGTTTTATTTGTGCCAGTTGTTCAAAGGTCATTCAAGTTGTCAAGTTGGTTTCTGTTACAACAAACAGCAATGCAGCCTCTTGACTTCTCCTTGTGATGCACACAGCTGATGTACTTAGTGTGCTAATGGTAGTTATGTATAAAGTGTTATTCTGTGTCTGCAGGTTTTTGAGCGTTGCTGGTACTATGTGTGTATTCCTGTGTGGTGGGGACTAGTGCTGTATGCAGCACTTGAGCTCACCCTCATCTATACTTATCAGTTTGATTCAATAAGTGATGCCTGGGAAAAGGCCTACAACAACACTCCTTTAACAGTGAATTCCGAAGACCTGTAAGCATTCTATCTAGGGAGGAAAGTTATCCAACTACTGTTACTTCCATCTACCACAGATTCCGCAGTATTGGATTAAGAAAATATGGAATTAACTCCTTGAGGTCATTGTGTGTCAGCCTCATACCCCCAGCTGTCTTTATAGCTGTAATGGCAATACAACTTCGCTATTTTAATCCCTTAAGACAAGAAGTTTCCTCCCAGAGGACTGCCATTGAAACCGAAGGAGGTGAAGAAGGCACTGATAGTGGAGGTTTGTATTGATTTTCTGTTTTCACACATAACAAACAACTTTCAGGTACTGCTGGGCCTGATTCAGTGTCAAGAACATCCTCAGTGGCTTCTGCTGTGGCTAGAGAAAAATCTGTCTCCTACTTTTATCAACTTCCACCTTATCTGTGGAAGAAGTCCAAGCAGATTATGTGCCAAATAGTTCAGATATCTTGGCGATTTTTAGAGCTCCATCTTCATAAATTCTCAATGGTTGTGCTATTCTGGGTTGTTCTGTCAGAAGTCAGTGCTGGCTACTGGGTATTACTGGGTGTGTCACTGATGGTTATACCACTGCCTTACTTCAATAAAATCATGTACCCTCTCCTTACTTTATATATTGGATTGCTGTTAGTCATAAAAACAACTTACCAGTATCCTATTGTGGCTCAATACATGTTCAACCTTACTACCTTAAATGGTACTGATGATGGTGGACAATGCTCTGGCATATTGGTAAGTACATTAGTGTAATACTTTATCAGCTTTCATGGTTTGTTGCATGATGCGTTTACTTTGCAGAATACTACTCTCTATGTGGGGAACTATTCTGGTTTAGTCTATAATTATCAATACTCCTCTCGCATCAATGATGGTGGATGGTTGGGGCTTCACAAGGTGGCCAACTATGCACTTTACATCATGGTAAGTCTAAAACATCTTCTGATGACTATTTATTGAGCTATCAGTGTAAAAGCACTGAAGTGCAAACCCTTGGCACAAACCACATTCCATATTACCGAAACGATATTTATAGGATGCTACTATAATAGATAAATCTTACACTCTACCAGTCCCTGAAAGAATCAAGCCCATCTCAGTATGACACTCCATTTTCAAGAAGCTACTAGGTATAAATATGGCACCCTTTTGTGTCAAGCAATTTTGGTACATACACGAAGCACTGGAATGATGTTGAGGTGACTGGTAATGAACCCTCAGTGCTTGTAGGGTTACGGTACTTCGTTCACAAGTTTGTCCGTCTCTCTGTCAGCTCTGCTTAGTTTCGCTATGACATGCTGAACAAAGGGCACTAGATTATTAAGTATGATAAGAAATAACCTAAAAGCACTATATAGTTCTGCAACCTAAAATACAAACCATTGTGGTCTCCCTTCTAAGGTCATTTAGTCCGTTTTGATGTTGAACCCTATTGCAGTCCTGTTTTTGGTAGAGCATAAGATATATCTATTGCAGTAGCATCCTTGACAATACATTGATGTTGAACCACCATACTTAATTCGTGTATCTTTAGTTTTCTATCAGAGAATTTTACTTGCAGTGCTTTTATAATTATGTGTTCCAATGTGTTATGTAGGGTCCTCTTTGTTTGGCACTTCTTCTCTCCCTCAACTTTTCTGTAAAACGGCACCAGGTATATGTATTAGTTATATCCACGCCGCATGAAAATTATACACTGACCTGTTATAACATTTGTAGCCCAGTAAAACCGATTTGATTGCGGTTGCAGAAAGTGTTTTGGCGGGTCCACTTTCGAATTCACGTGCATCATGGCGGACTGAAGCCCTTCTCGAAGGTGTTATCTAAAATTTATGACTTGCGCTACGTGGAGCTGTTGCCTCCAGGGAGGTAAGCTCAGGCCACGAAGAACTTATTACAAAACTCCACTACAATTTATGGGTATGACTCGCTCGCTGCGCCTTGTGAATTGGGCTGCTGTGATGTACAGAACCTGTAAACCAGCGTCACTGAGTTTACACAGTTGCATGTCAGATGTTCAGAATAGCCCCACAGCAGCACATCATAACCAATGAGTAATGAAAAGCACTAAAGTGCAAACCCTCGGCGAACTACGTACGCATGTGCGGTGCCGCTAATGGGCTAGGCCAGCTATTAACGTTTACCCGTGGTCTCCCGCTAGTAGGCCGCGGAGAGTCTGACACGGGCTAGCTACGGTATTAGATAGCATTCGGGAGTCGATACACGCACCTTCGTGGTGGCTTCTTGTGCCTCTAAGATCGAGGTCACACGTTGATCACGTCTGGTATACGCATGTGCACTGCTTATTGATGGGTTGGGCCACGCAACGCGGTCCACGACTGTGCCAGTTTGTCGCTCTCGAACGCAGTCGTTTCAGGAAAATCGCCCTTTTTTTTTTCAGGCTTGTGTAGTACTGAAGCCGCTGGTATCGCTAATGGGCCGCCTCGTAGCCTGTAGTTCCAGAATAAGCGTCGACACACACACACACACACACACAGACAGACAGACAAACCAACTACCGTAACCCTCGCTGCGCATGCGCGCCGAGGGTTAATAATGCATTCCCACACAGCGTGCCTGTGCGGTAATGCACCTTGGCAGTACCTTTGATCTGCGCTGGGCTACAATTTAAGGAAATGGGGCAGTATAATATACATTATATTATAAAGGCTGAACTAAATACTTGAACTCAGTTGCATTCTTTCACAGTGCCCCTATTGTTTTGTTCTATCTTTAGTAACATTTCAAAATTTAGCCCTTATATAGTGCCTCATTCCTTTTTAATTACCTGTGAATTTATATATCAACATTAGGTTAAAATCTATCGGTCTGAGAATATAGAAATTGGATCATGGGAGAAGGGATCATTGTTTTTAAATATATCTCGATCAAAGGCTGAAACATCAGTATTGATGGCTGGAAAGTATATTATTAACCATGTGTTTGAGATGTATGGGATAGAGGTAAGTGTGTACTTAATTCAAGTATGCCTTGTAACCACCTTTGTAACATACTTATCTTCAGATTACATTGGTTGCAATGGCCATCTCCGTTGCTGTACGTATTGACGTGTATGGAGTGTTTTACTGCATAGTGGTTGGAGTACTGCTTGTTTTTCCTCGTCGACTGATGGCTCCATTGTGGTTGTTTTATGTGGTAGTCCATGGTCTGCTGTTACTTCTACAATATTCCATGTTACTTGGTGTACCTCCTGGAGCCTGTTTTTATCCTGGTGGACGGAGAGGTTTGTGTGTACATATATCACTAAGTACGGTAGTACAGGTATATAGGGATGACAAGTAAATAAAAAATTCTGCGAATTAAGAAAGTGTGGAATATAGGGATGCCATAAAAAGCAAGGAGACAAGGCAGGTATGACCTGGGCATGTGATGCAGTAATACAATGGGATGATTGTTACATCTTCAAACTGACATTTCACTCCACACAAGCCCTATATTGTCGCCACTCTTACTCATGACATGAGTTTTGAATAGTGTAGTGTGAAGACTGGCAAACGAATTCTGTGAGGAGTGCAGCATTGTAAAACCGGTTAGTTGAGCGAACATTGAAGTAAACACAGTCACGATTCAAAACTGAGGACCTGTCAGAGAGGGCATTTGCTACCAGTGTTACGTGCATAGGAAACGAGTCATAGCTGCACATCATATGATAGAGATCGCTCGTGCTTTGCGACAATATAGGGCTTGTGTGGATTAAAATTTACATGAGCATGAAATGTCAGTTTGAAGATGTAACTATCATCCCGTTGTACTACTGCATCACATGCCCAGGTCATCCCTATTGTCTCCTTGCTTTTTATGGCATCCCTATATTCCACACTTTCTTAATTCGCAGAATTTTTTCTTTTCTTGTCTCCTTTCCTTTTTTTACGGCATGCACATGCATTGGGGCATAATGTCCATATAAAAAGTAACATGTATTATTTATTGCCTCTTAGTCATCTACTTTTTTATGTCGCGTCCAAAGTAGATAAGTGTACAAAGTTATAGCACTTAATTGCCTGAGGCTGTTTGTTGTTGTTTACAAACTTGTAATTCATGTTTCAACGAACTCTTATCATAGTAAATCAGTGTACCAAGTTTCGTTGTTAGAGGACCCACAATATGCAAGTTATAGCCACAAACAACATTTTATTGCCTGAGGCTGTTTGTTGTTGTTTACAAACTTGTAATTTCTGTTTCGATGAACTCTCACCATGGTACATCAGTGTACCAAGTTTCATTGTTAGAGGACCCACAATAAGCAAGTTATAGGCACAAACATCATTTACAAGTATTCATTTCCTGAGGCTGTTTGTTGTTGTTTACCAACTTGTAATGTGTACATTTTGATACTAATGATGGGTTGCATGTGTGTACAAAGTTTTATCACTCAGGGTATTTGCTTTAGCACACTTTATTTGTCTCTATAATAATGTATTGCCTGGGCCATTTGTTGTCGTTTACATGTAAACAAAACTTTTACGAAGGGAAAAAAATGCTCCTGCACGACCTGTCATGGATTCCAATCTTTGTGCAGAGTTTGATCTCCATATCTTTTGAGATAGGCTTGTCTAAACTGAACAACAACAAGAAGAAAATTGAAAAGTGACTTTTTAAAATAAATCAAGTACAGATTATGCGATTTAAGCTATTTCTTGGATACATGCTCTTTGTGACGATACAAATTAGTCTGATGTGTCAAAAGTTTGATCTGATTAAAATAGAAAGTGAAACATCGAAATCTCAAATGTATGGGCATAATGCAGGACAACCTGTGTCATCCCTATACTAAGTACTACCGTACTTAGTTATAAGAACGTAATGCTATTACGTTGAGAAACTTCACTCACTTCACTTTGTGTTTTAGTCATAATATACCATGTACATAGCCATTTGTGAGCCTTCTCTTTTGCTGTAATACCCCATGGCACGCATGGCAGCTATGTAGGGTGGCTGAGGTTGCTTTATGTACGTATGTAACTGTAGCTGTGTCTTTCTGTTGCAAAAGATGTTTGTGTAACGTCAGTATTTAGTAATCCTCGGCATGCATGAGCAGCGAGGGTTACGGTAGTTGGTTTTTGTAAGTGTGTGTGTCTGTCTATGTCTGTCTGTCTGTTACTGTGTTTTTGCCACCATGCTGAAAATGGCAATAAGGCGATACCAAAAGATTCATTCAGCGCTACAATGGCTTGGTTTTTTATTTAGGGAATTTCGTAAAACGACTATATTCGAGAGTTATGGTGTGAAAACGAAGTGAAAAACTGATATAAGCAAATAGCACGTGCGTACCTCGACCACATCTATTTGCTCTGCGTGTATACGTTAAAGGAACAATAAGTTGCAACGTAGGGCGAGTATCGACATGTGCATGCTATCCAGTAGTTTAGTGACAGACTCTCAGCGAACTGGCAAGAAAGCACTAGTAAAATCTTGAGTGTCATTGATCTTTTGGAAAGATACGTAACATGTATTTCTAGAGTTAAGTTCTGAGATGTCATCACTAAGTCAATGATTAGCCTAGGATAACTAATATCAACGGGGGCCATCATACGTTTACCCCCTCCTTATCTGTTGTAACTGTCAAACTAGTCACTGAGTGAGTGTGTGTTTTGTGTTAAATAGAATGTGAATTTTGAAATGCTAGAGAAAGTGCAATTAATTTACGGTCTGTGGCCCCGTACTGCCAAAAAATAACCCATACATACCAGCACATGTATTTGAAAACCAATGTCAGGGCTAACCATCAAGCACTGTACTAATTCGGATGGCTAGTTAGCTAAAGCTAAAGCATACTTAATAGAGGGATGACATTGTTGATATACAATGGATTCCCAGCTCAGGTGTGCATTACCCCACACTGTAAAACTCCTGCCCCCTTAGGTTTGTTAAAGATACATTTCTGTCTGTATTATGACTTCATCAGGGTCCAAGAAGAGAAATTCTATCCCTTCCAAATAATAACTATACTCTACAACAGCATCAGAGCACCCAATTTAAATGTTCCTGGAGGTTCATGCTCCCAGACCCCATGCTGAGCTTGTGGACTTTTGTCCCTTAAACATGCAGTTAGCTTAAAATTTAAGTCAACTCTTGTTTACTCAATGACTGCTTGTGTTTGGCAGCTTCATATCGTAGTTGTACACAAGTTGCTGTATTAAAACACTTAATAATGGACCTCTGCCCCCCACCCCCACTAATAATTCTGTACACCTAACCATGTGACTCTGGTCCAGAAATATGAGGTGTCCTTTGTCTATGCACAGAGAATCTTGTTGAAGTTGAGAAACTCCTATATATATGTCTGTTGCCGCAAAAATTACAAAGGAGGTTCATCTGTTTGCAATTTATTCTTAGCTTCAGAGAACTACTTAGTCTCAAACTAAAATTTAGTGATTACAACGTGAATGGGTAAAATAAAATGTTGCATGCTGTGGTTGACTTCAGTCTTTGCTTTGCCTTGCCTTTCTACCTCACTACCTAGTTGTTGACACATACATATACTCAGTTCGGAGTTAGGCGTCTTAGGTGGTTTAATTACCCTGGTCTGCTCCTATATACCTACTGAAGTATACTGTGCCATAGCACAGTGGTTTGAGTTTGCCCCTACCAGCTAAGTTGCCCTTGTAGTGCTCTCGTAGAAGCAAAGTTTTGTGGGTTCGAATCCCACGAGTGTCATGGGTTTGAATCCAAACTGGGACAGCTCTTCTTCTTTTCCTTAAAAAAGAAGAGTTTCACTTCTACTTTTCCTTGAAAGAGAAGAGTTGTCCTTGGTGTAGTTTACTTGTTTCCTTTGCTTTGCCTTGCCTTTCTACCTCACAGCCTAGTTTTTCACACATTAGTAACTAAGAGATGCTAGTGAGCAGGTAGCCCTTCAGCCTCGTCCCAAATCCTTCCTGTTAAATATAGACTGGAAATGAAGTAATTATGCTGTAGTATCACTTTTAAGCCCCATTTTTAGTGTGTAAGTAAGCACAAGCAGTTCATATAGTTACTGTGTCACATATCCTTTATAAGGGGCTTGAGACTATATTATACGTAGGCTTGTTTGTTTGGCATGTAGTAGGTCATCCAATTATCCTTGCTTTTTATCATCCCTACTTACTTGTCTACGTTTATAATTCTCTTACATTTTCCATTGACGGCATTATGTATATGTTGGACAACATATACATCACGTGAAATAGTGAGTTTGGGTAGGTCTTCTCTATGTTTAGAAGACTTAGTTAGGTGAAGTTAGGGGCAGAGATGCATACTTACCTGTTTGTTTTTGCTAACATACTTGTAATGAGTAACAAGTGCAACTGTTAGAGGACCCAGCATAGGTGAGTAATGAAAGCACGTAATTACTGGCAGATTATCTTTATGTCGGCAGTTCAATGTTATAAAAAAGTTTCTCAAATGTATGGCCATAATGCTGCAAAACAGGCGAGTGTGAGATGTACGTATGTATGTCTCTTGGTTCATATAGTTTTACCACTATAGGGTATCCTTGGGACGTACTAGTTGATCAGACTACAACAAATTTTTGTCTGAAAAAATGGCTCTTTCTCACGGACTATCCACAGATGCTGGAAAAAGTGGTTTTATATGGTAAGTTAAAATTAAGTGTTTCTATCTGTTTATAATACCTTGATGGCATTGTTGAAATAAGTTTGTCTTTACAGAGCAGGTGTAGTCACGGGTAACCCTGTAACTCACTGAGCTATAACACATAGGCTAAGGCTGATTTCCATTCTCTTACCGTTCTGCCTCAAACAGGAAGTGAAGGGACATAAAATCATGGTCTTGTTTGACCAGCAATTATCAAGGAAAGCCAAGCATTAAAGCTTGTTGGCTATCCCTAGGCAAAGGGCATGCTAGGTAATGGAGAATTTTATCGGGCTATACAATCCTGCATGTGCAAGCAGGGTTCATAAATTATGTCATTTGCCTAGGGATATCCAACAAATCTGTTACAGTAACCAGACAGGAAAGCAGTTGCATTTGCATGGCTCATGCTTCCTGTCTGAGCACTGCAACATAATTAACCCTCTGCATGCAACGCTGTTTTAGGTTCTTGTACGGTGCCGTTCCATTTCGTTTCGTTCGGTTCTGTTTTGTTTCGTTTATGAGAGCCAGCAGAGATCGTGGAACGCGCGAGAGACTAGCGATCTTGGGGCTACGCCCACTTTTAACAAAACGCATCCCAAGGCTTCTCCTTGTCGTGAGGAGGCGCCGTTAGAGTGCGAAAACGCGTCTTGCAAGGGGAATGCGCTCCAGCGAGGCTGGCTTCCTTCGATGAAAAAGGCGATACTCCGCGCCCGGTACCGAACGGAACAGAATGGTTGCTACACGAAACGAAACGAAATGGCACGGCTGTCAAAAACAGCAAACGATAATTGCCGTTCTCAGAAACGAAACCGCATGATATTGAAAACGTTTTTTGACGCATAGTGTACATGATAGGCATCGCTTGTTGTCTCTCATATGCTACACTCATCGCTTAGTTTACGTAGGCGAACTACTCTGGTTGACCACTTGCACCCATCATGTAACAATCAAAAGGGTATCTTTGTAGGCAACACAAACTTATTGTCCTCCGATTTCTGCTTTTTCAGCTACAGCTTATAGTGCATGCAGCAAAGGTGTGAGCGGGTTTGCACAAGTGCGATGCTGTCTTCCAATAAAACCAACTTGCAAATAATCATGAAAAACTCATGCCAGAAACACAGTCAAAGTAAAGGCTAGGCACTTTGAACATCTTGTACCTGCAGCTACTGCATGGGAGTAGTGGTTTAGGAGATAATGCTTAATGTGAAGATGTATAGCACATTTGAATCCCTGGTTCCTCTTTCATTTTTATCCCCCCATAACTATTCACATGGTTGATATATCAGGCAACTTTTGTGCAGTTTGTTACGGTTGAAAAGTGATTGCTGGTGATGATCTAGCTGGTTTTGGTTTGTAACATCCCTGCGTAAGAAATACACTGATCTTTTATTATGTACTTCCTTTTACAGTGGACTTTGTTGTGTATATTCTTCTATGCCTTCAAATTTACAACTTCAAAATTGTGAAGGAGCTGTATTCACCTCTCACTGACTTCACAAAAACTGATTTTTTCATGAGTTATTTTAAGGTGTGTGCATAATGTACTGTTTTCTCTTAAAGGGCACATTATCGTCCCAAGCCCAGTCCATATTATTTTGTAGCTGAAGACAGCTAAATATGTCTGTCGACGCACATGCTTAATAGGAATTAAAAATGCGCACTTGTACGTAATGCAGGAAGCACACTTAACCTATTTATTTTCTTCGTTTCTATTCAGGTGTTTTTGACAAGGTACCTTTTTTGGGTATCGATTTTTCTGCTGTTCTTTGCTGCAATTAACAGAGTCAGCTTTTTTGGGTTTCTTTATCTAATTATGTGCTTTGGATTGCTCTACCGTGGACAAAACATGCTAATGGATCATAAGAACAGAAGAATCAAGAGGTATATCAACATACAGGGATTGATGCAGTATAGTATAAGAGAAGGTGTTACTAAAACAGAAATTTCATTGCATTGCTTCACTGGGCCTTATTGTATTCATTGGTAACATTTCTAAATTAATAGCTGATACGTATGTTGCTTCATAGTCAGAGTCTGAATGTTTATCTCACTGCTGCAAATTTTCAACATTCATTAGGTGCCAAACTGCACATATTCTCAGACTTGAGTTGACATCATAAGAGTTGTGTAAGCAAAGCCTAAAATTGCTACCTCATGTTTTGCTTATCCCTATACCCTTGAACGTATCCACCTCTTAGCACAATTCTGTGAACTGCTAAGTGTCTGGCTACCTTTTTAGGTTAAGAATACCTCTATCACTTCAAAGGAAACTAGACACGAACAGCACAGTATAGGTTCTGATTGGAGAACTCTGTGAATGTGTTGATTTTTCCACACCCCTTTTCTGCCCATAATGGGCACAAGACTAGATGTAAATGTGGCGTGCCTTAAGAACAGGCCATAATGGGCGTGAGTGGTAGTCGCCAATACTTACATGGCTGGAATACTACTTTATTATGAGGATTTGTGTGATTTTTAGGCCTTGTTTTAACAATTTATTAGCATTGTTCATATTCCTTCTCCTTACATTCTCTATGGGAGCCAAAAACAGTGCACGCCTTCACCGGAAGAAAACTGTTCCTCACAACTATGCGCATTGGCCTTCTTCCTGCCTCCTACAGTACGTGCAGGCAAATTCTAGCTGGCACAAAAGTGGGCGTGGCCACACTTTGAGCATTACATTATTTTGACCTTCGTCGTGCAGGGGCCACGCCTATTTTTTGTGACTAGGTTTTATAACCTGCGCGTAACTTAGGATGCAGAGAAAGCCACTGTGTGAAGAACCATTTGCTCCCGACAAAGTTGTGCACTGGTCTTCGCTGCCATAGACAATGTAATGAGTGAATCTCCTTTAATCCCAGCCATGTAAGTGTAATAATTATTTAGCGACCACCAGCTTCACCCATTATGGCCGTATCTTAACCCTTTTGGACGCCATGGACATCTTCTTAAATAAGCTGAATTTTATGTATTAGTGTCTAGTATTATAACCCCATTTGTATGATGACTGAGAGTAAGATCAAAGGAATTCCAGCTAGTCCAAACAACGTACACGCGTAGTGAGCGCTTCCTGCTGAGTTTACGGGTAGTTATACCATAAAGAGGCCATACGATTTCCCCATACTTTAGCTGTATGTCAACTTATTTGCATAAACCACAATGGGTATATGGTAATTATACGATAGTAGGAAATTGGCAGCGTGTAATGCAATTAGGGGGCTTTTACACTCTTTGTGTGCTGCTGTTTCTTTACCAGAAGGGAGTGTTTTCAGGCTGGAATGGCCAGTGTATATACGCGGTCTGAAAACTAGCTAAAAACTGCTTCCCGACGCGTAGGCTCCCGTAGACTGGAACAGTATGTGACTTTCAGCTTTCTTGCTACTGCAACAGGCTGCATTCGAGAGCGCTGGGTATAGCGGGAGAGAAAGCGAGCCAGAGCGGCAGCTACAAAACTCGCGTGGAGTCCAGCAGCGAAAAAGTGACGTACCTGTAACGTTGAACTCTCGAAAAAATGACCATGGCTTCTGCACAACCGCCCAGCTTGACCAAACTAAAGCGCTTATTGCAGCTGTCTCTCCGCTCCCGATCGAAACTGGCCACTCGTGTAAAACCAGTAAACCACGCGCCGCCATCGTATAACCTATACATAAATTCTGATAGACTTATGGGAGGCTCTGGACACATTTGTGTCCGTGGATGGTTAAGTGTTAGTAGTTAGTGTCTAATAGGGTCTATATACATATAGCATTTTGTGTTCACATGAAAGTGTCCTGCAATGTGTCATGTGGAACTATTTATAGTTCTATATGAGGTTGCTCCAATTTAATTAGAGACTGCCATTTTTTAGTTTATACCTAATCTTCTGAACTTTTCAGTTGGGCTGGATTGCGTTTACTGGCATGGACAATCTTATTGGTCAGAGTGTCAGTTCAGGTACGTAGCTACGTATGTAAAAAATATATATATGTACTGACATGGTAAATTTTTTATCAACAGATTGCAGATTGTGTCTTCTATACTGATATATCTCATGAAACGAAATGCGGCCTTATTCTTGGTTTTAATGGAGGCTGTAATAGAAAAGATTACTATGGTGAGACATAGCAAGAAATTATCAAGGCCATTTTAGAAATGGGCAATTGAGTCAGCGGTACATCCATGCATTAGTAAAGGGCAACTCTGCAAGCACTAGTATTAAAAGATGTACCATTACTTGACCTCATGAGTAGAAGTGATAAATCATTCAGTTGCCGTTGTGTTTTTATATTGTGTAGGCTCTCCTGATGCAGAGTGTCCTAACTATCCCAATAATGTTGGACTTTGGGTTGATGTTCTCACCTTTGCAGTTTTTGCCATTCAAATTGCCATCTTTGATTCTCAATACAGTGAAATGATGCGTGAATACCTCATAGATAGAAGCAAAAGAGCTGGCCAGTAAGTTTATTTATTGTACCTTGCGTGGACGGATCAGAGGAGCCGCGCATACTTTATTTCCCGTATTGTAGTACCCGTTCAATATGACCAATATTGAACATTCAATAAAAAAGTTATTGAACTAGCATCAGCATCGTACACATAGTGTGGACATAAACTGTGCTGTAGAGGCTGTAGAGGCAAGGGATGGCTGAGGCGACCACACCCCTTCATTCAGCTATCTCTCCTACACTCTTGGCAAGACCGCGGCTGTGGCACACCGACTGGTCAAACTGCCCAGCGACCTATGAAATAAGTTTCTCGGGGGAGAAAGAGCCACTATCACGACCTTGTTCGATTGAGTTAGCCTCGAGAACAGAATAATCGCTCAAGAAGCTTGCGAGTCTGCACGTGTGCATGGGAGGTACATTTCTCTCGCTTGAGGTCGATGACTGCTATATACAAACTCACTATAAAACACTCCTATCGATCTATACGTGACTTACAGGCACTCGGGTTGTGGTCTAGAGACCCATACAGCACAGTGGCGGATCTAGCATTTCGAAAGGGGGAGGGGGGGTTCCGCTGTCCCGAATGTTTTCGACTGCGATCGAGGCCAGCGATGCATGCGCATAAAACTACAAAAAGGGGGGTTCCACGGAACCCAAGGAATCCCCCTGGTCCAGTGAATCTGCCACTGCAGCACTCGGCTGTGCCTCATACTGTATGAGTCTCTTGACCATACCCCCTGGTTCCCGTAAATCACGTATAGAACTCTAAATGCGCTATTACTAGAGGTGTCTATTACAAATTGCATTCGCAAGGAAAAGGTAAAAAGTGTTTAGAGGTATTATCATGTTTGAATAACGCATTTACTCCAGATCAAGAGTAAGCTACTCAAAGCACACTGGGATTGGGAAAAGAGTTGTCCAATAGTTTAAACATTGCATGAGTGTTATTGATTTATTTCATGTGTACTTGTCTTTGTGTTTACATCCAATGATGAGTGGTTTAAAGGCAATCCAACATGACTGCCCACACGGAAGCAATTAGCTTCATAAGGTGGCCACGGTTGAATAATTGAGTCTGAGTGGTGGATGCCTCTAACTCGCCATGTTTCCAACTTTACACACACGTGTGCTTACAAGAGCTAGTGCCACTGGGAGCCACAAGAGCAAAGCTGGCCCAGGTATATCTGCCTTGCGTTTTCGAACTGGCCTTACTTTTCCACACAAAAACGCCACATGGAACAGGCATGCCAGTGCATACTACACTTGACCTATATTCAAATTACGCCCATGCACTAGAAATTACGTTTTGTGTCCTGAGTCAGAGAGCCTTTAATTGCTCCAGTGTGTTCCTCCTGGACTTCTGCTTATACGTATACAAAACTTGCGTTTTTGTGTGCAGAACAACAGACAAACCAACGGATGACGTAACACCTAGCTCATTCACGTAGGGTAAGGACACCGGTAGTAGAACACTTTCTCTTCTGAACCAAAGTTATCCAAGTAAAGTAGGAGTCGAGTGCCAAACTACAATCCAAGTCTGACGATGTTCCCCCATTTTGAATTTTTGTCTCTTCCCAGTAACATCTCCTAGCAATTCGACCTGAATTTATCGTTTTAATGATACACCCCTCTTTTTTGACTGCCAAGGCGACTGCACACATACCTAGGATACAGCGCACATTGACCTATGGCTGGCAGTGGAGTGATACAGACAATACCTTGTTTTCGGAGTGATACAGAGAATACATACCTGTTTGTGTGTAGGATTGAAGCTTAGTACCTGGTTAACACATTAAGGGTATCAATGTATGAAGAGAAAAATTGTGTGTGTTTATAATTGTGCATTCCCTACTGTGAGATACATCTTGAATAGTGTGACCTAACTCTTCCTGCTTATAGGTTTTCTGCAGTGTTAGATGAGAAGATAGAGCAACGTCAGCAAAATGCTGAGTCTGAAAGAGAGAGGGAACTTTTGAAATTAAATGAGAGGTGAATGCACTGAAGCATATACCGTGTATACTATGTCAGGAAATATAACCATGTAATCGCTTAGTGTGTGTCACATTGGTGCTATTCGATAAAAGCAAAGGTAAATGAACGTCTGCACAAAAGAGAGTACATTGCCTGCTTATTATTCTACGTGCTGGCTAAGATTTCATGAACAGTTGACAGGGTTCCAATGCTGAGAATTAGCAAGTATTCTATCCTAAATAAAGCATGGATGCTCCTCCCTTGTGCACTTTTCCCTTGGGAGAGCCTGTAAAAAAGTGAAAAGTTTAGGAATGAGACCAGAGCATTCCAGCCTGTCAAAATTCTGTGCTTCTTTCCTTTAGCTCAGATCCGTTTTTCCTTCACTCTGTTACCTAAGCTACTCTTCCCCCACAGATATTACTATAATCATAGCCACTCTTCAAGCCACTCTTTAAACCTCTTTAGGGTTGTAGTAGGTTTATGATGTTAACAACAGAAACCATCCAAGCAGGATTAGTCTCGTGCCCAGACCCCGCCCTCAAGAGAGGAAAAGGGTCTGGTGACTATTGAGCGTTTTGTTGGTTGTGCTGACTCGACAGTCTTACTTTTGAGACACCGAATCAGACTGCAGTATTTGCCACGAGCGTGAAATATCACATGATGTTAAGTAATAGATCGTAACGCAGCTCCGTGGATTCCGCGTGTCCAAGAACGAGAACGGGCTTTCCTGCGCATGCACTCGATAATGATGAGTCAGCACAACCAAGAAAACGCCTAATAGTCACCAGACCCTTTTGCTCTGTTGAGGGCGGGGTCTGGGCATGAGACTAAAGCAGGGTTGGTAAACATATACAATTTTCTCCCTGCCAACCAATCAATTATGCAGCTTTCCCCCTGGCTGATGTAATGTACATTTATCAAATTTTGTTTATTTACTTTTTTAGGGTAAGGCAACTAAGCTCCTGTGAGAACAAGGTAGACCACATTTTATATGCTGGAGGTAAGATCTTTGTGTAACACTTTACAATCAGGCCATATCTTAAGTGTAAAATATTGCGCCATGTTAAATAAAATCGTCACTGTCCAGCTTGCCAGTATCCATGTAAGAGCTAATATTTAGATTTTTTGGTTGTGCAATTTTTGTTCTGCTACATATAGGCAACTTAATCTTGTAAATACATTATTTATACGAAAATGTTGGTTTTGGCTGCACAAGAGTAATCATTGATGCCCTTTGTCATGCAAGCATGATTTTTATAATTATGACACAACGGTGCCTCTAAATTCAATTACCTGGAATGCAAAGAAATGATGTATACTTTAGTGATTACAGTAAAATTTCCCTCAAATGTAAAAATCTTATAACTGAGGAGCAAAATATACTGAGTGAAGAAGATACTAATTCTCTGAGAGTAATCTGTGATGTTTTTTGTGCAAACATGTTAAAATTATCACACGAAGTGCTTCTAAGTATTTAACCCGGAATGCAGAGTTACTTTAGTGCTTTCAATTTGCAGTAAGAATTCCCTCAAATGTAAAGTTTATGACTGAGGAGCAAGATATACTGAGTGAAGAAGATACTACTTCTTTGGAGGTAGCATCAGTGGAACCAAAGAGCAAGTCATCTACCGAAAATACTAATGCTGCGGGGAGTAAACTCTCCCGGATATGGAATTTCCTTTCTTTTTATTTAAATGACATTTTTGATTGGATTATTGAATGGCTGGAAAGGTCAAGTGCTCTCTATGTAGATGTTGTTGAAGACTTGAAAAAGCAGGAACCATCTGAGGAACAGTCAGGGATTGATGAATACGACCAAGCTACTACCATCAGTGGTTTAGCTTCTCCGTTCGAAGAGAAAAAGGAAACACAAGATACCAGTGGGATGCCTAGTGAGGGTCAAGAAGCTATGGTAATGGCAGTTGAAGATTCTGACCAGCATTTATTGGAGTTACCAGTAAAAGATGCTGGTTCACATCAAACTGCCAAAACAGCAAAAGTTGCTAATAGTGATCATATTAAAGATGGGGATATAGCTGACTTTGAGTCTGAGTTAAATGCAGTTGCTAAGAAGTACAGCAGGCGGCCAATGCGTTTTTTGAAGGCACTTAAGAATTCTCTTTTGGCTCATGCTGAATTTGTCATCTACTTTCTTGTGATTCTTAATGTTGTGATAAATGGAAGTGTGATTTCACTTGGCTACGTGTCTCTACTGTTTGCCTGGGGAATATTTTGCATACCTTGGCCAACGAAGACATTCTGGCTGTCAATGATATTTTATTCGATGCTGGTTCTAGTTCTTAAATATGCATTTCAGTTCTACAGTATTAACTATCATGATGAAGATCTCCAATCACAAACTGGCTTTTCCACTCCAAATATTTTGGGGATTGTGTACTACAAACATAGTTCTGACTTTTTTAAAAATGCCGTATGGGACATGCTACTACTCATTGCTCTTCTCATTAATCGTGGGTTACTAAAGGTAAAAACTGTACATATTTTTAAATAAATGTGTGATTTTATATTATAACAGTGACCACTGCTTGCACTTACCTAAAATGTAATAAAAGTGAAAATTCAGTTGTTACTTCATGTAAGAGTCGCGAAATGTGCAAAGTTAGCATTAATTTAGTCTCCAATGCCTAAGACTTGCCATGTCTCTAGGTGTCCCTCTGTATCCCCCTGTCTCCCTTAGTCTCCCCCTGTCTCTTACGTCTTCCCTTGTCTCCCTATCAAGCGATGTCAGTTCGAAGTATGTAGCCATCATCCATTGTACTACTGTCAGTAGGTCATTAGGTCATCCCTGTCTAAATATATAGGGATGGGCATGGTACCTGGCATTATAGATGTATGGGACTATGATAGGGAAGGCTTTTCATCTTCTTCTTCAGATTAAACACCAATAACTCATATACCTAGTACCTTTTTCCATATATTTGTGAAATTCACATTTCTTCAATCAGATACCACTTCTGACATATCAGTCTGATCCGTATAGTCAAAATAAGAGTGTACCTATGTAAGCAACACACCCGGACAGCCAGTAACACGAAGCCAGTTAATCTACCAGACAAGTTTGGCATCTGGGTGGAACATTGGACTGTCTTACATGCCGTGATGTTATAAATAGATGAAAGGTTTTTGCAACCCCCGCAGTATGACTCTAATGTTCACTCAGCAATAATGCTCATTTAGTAAATATTATGTCACCTTTCTTTGATTTATGCAGCAAAATGGCCTGTGGAGGGACTACAGCAATACTCATTCCAGCATTTTGTAAGTTGAAACTATGCAAATGTTAATCCTTAATCCTACTGAGTAACTCCTAATAACGTTTAGAGCCTGGCGCTCATATGCAATGAGTGTTACAGTATTTGGTTCACAAGTCTGTTGCTATGTACCCTGCCATAATGTGAGCTAGACTCTCTCTTCCCACACTTTCAATAACAAGCGCATGCATCGTGGAGGTTCTAGCAGATGTCGTAGGTGTTTACAGTTGTCTGACCAATCACAATTTATCCATGCGCCGCAAGGATAATGGAGTTTGTGAGTTTGTCTGTCATTCTGTCTGTCTGTTACCACGTTTTCTGCCACCACACGCAAGAAATCAGCCAAAGAGTGGTAGTAACGGGTTCATTGCTGCACCGGCTTGATTATATAAAAGAAAAAAAGGTGATTTTCATACAAGTACTCCGTTCTTAAGTTATGATGTTTGAGCCTCGTGGACAACTATTATAGCACTGGCTTACCTCGATAGCATTTTGCCTGTTCGCGTACCATGGAGGCATCAGAAGTTACAACAGAGGGCGAGTGTCGAGTCTCGCGATGCCTACAACTCTATCTAACCCGTGTCAGAATCTCACTGTATGTGCATCCCCCCTGCATGCTAGGCACGTGCTGCCGAGTTGGCATGAAATGGCGTTGTTCAGTGTCTGCCATGGAAAAGCTCAAAGATCAACTGTAGGGGCTGGTGACAAGAAAGAAACGATCGCTGGATGTCCGTGCACACCTTTGTGGAACCTGGAGACGTTTAGTGAAACAATCTGTGGTTCAAGTGGTTCTGGTAAAGAGATAGCAGGTTTGAAGAAGAAAATATGGTGATGGCGAAAAATTGTAAATTCGCATGTGAGCGAATTCTCGCGTGGAGAACTGAGGCATGTGTAAGGGCATATGTATAGCTAGATATTTGCCCATAGACTAATGTTTGAAGGCATACCGAGTCAATCTCGCCAAGTTTTGAGGCGTTTGTATGCGGATCACGTGAGATTTGACCCGTGCCATTGCTATAACTTCAATGCAGAGTGCTGTTTAAATATGTATGCGAGAAAAGATATCTGAAGCAGTGCTAAGCATGTTTCCTAAGCCTCAGCATCTATGGTACATCTCACCGGCAAGTTGTAGAGCAAAGCACAGCGCAAACTCGTGAAAATCCCTGTTCTTGTAGCACCCACAATTGCTTTTAGCTTAACAAGTTGAGTAAACCTGAACCTCTGAGTAAAAGCGCAACCTAAACAGAACAAAGCTGCCTTAGATACACAAAACATGCTACCTTTCATACACAAATCGTACGTACCTACCCATATATGAATACTGAAGACATCTCTACATCATATATGCCACATGCGGTTTAATGATACACAGCAGGGGGGGAGTGTCTAGTTCAATAGACTAGGTTCAGCACTGCACAAGCTAGGGTTATTTTAATAACTGCTGTGTTAATTATGATGTGTGAATGGCTTTGAGGCATCAGGGATTACATGAAGAGTGTCCCTTTCAGTTCCAAAATGTTGCACAACTAGAAACGTGAATAAAACTTTTCCCTCTGACCTTTGTGTTAACCTTCTATTTCAGTTTAAAAATGCAGTTCGGTTATTAAATGGGGTACACCATTATGGAGCATTGAGTTTTTCCCTAACAATGATAGTGTTTTCAAATGTACTGTCACTTCATGGAATGGTAAATGTATTTGCCTTTAATTGTACACCCCCTTAATACACAGGGAAATCAACCCTAACCATATTTCTCAGGTGTGTTTTTGCGCAGACACAATGCTTGTTCCAGAAACCCAATGAACCCTGCCTCGTAGAGAGGTTACACACTCACTTGTGAAGCTCTGGTTTGACTGGCTAAGAGAATGGTAATAGTTTTCAAGGAGTGTCTTTGTCATGCCACGGTATTGCTCCTTACTCAGTTGGGCATGTCTCCATGACACAGCAGTGGCATGGGTATAGGATTATGGTGATATACTCCGATCGTAAAAGTGTTAGTGGTGCAGAGCCCAAAATTCTCGTTATGTACTGCTTTGTGGAGATGAAGCTTAAGCCTTGTGATTTCGTGTAAACTCAAGATCGCCATGTACTCTTTTTCTAATGGTCTTCCAACCGCAATATTTAGTTGTAGGTGGCTGCGTCTGTGTCAGAAAGCTATGTACATTTGGACTCTTGCCTACCATATTATGGCCTTTCTATAACAATCGACTCCATCTGTGTGGACTCAGCAGTTTAATACAAGAAAGACCTGAATTTAGGTTCAGTGAGCGTTAGCAATGTAGCAGCTTTTTTTCGTACGACCACCTGCAGGATGATGAAGTACAAGTCTAGTGAAGTTGTTTACCTAATGATAGACACATCTGAATTAATGGACACCCCTCAGACATCTGGACCAGGATAGAAGCTAGCATGCGCAGCGAGGGTACGGTAATTAACCCTCGGCGCGCATGCGCAGCGAGGGTTACAGTACTTGGGTCTGTCTGTGTGTGTGTGTGTCTGTCTGTTACTCTCAATCTAACTTCTCGGGTGTTTGTTCGTCTCACAAAGGATACGACCTACTTAACGGGCAATGAAGGTCAGAATTTTCGAACGGTTTTCTCTGAAACTGCTCCGTTGCAAAGCTAGAGCGCGAAAAAGCCAATATGCAAATACACAACGGACGGGACGGCTTACCAGGGTCTGAACGATCCGCGTGCTCTGCATACCTCGGAGGCACCAGAAGATGCAACGCAGGGCGTGTATCGCCTCTCGCATGCTATCTAGTAGTGTGGTTAGCCCGCGTCAGACTCTGCGCGAGCTGGGAAGAGACCACGACAGCTAAAACTAAACCCAGCCCATCAATATTAGTGGTACGGCGCATGCGTTTACTTACGCGTGCGCGTCACAGTGCGCCGAGGGTTTGCACTTCAGTGCTTTTCATTGGGTCTGTGTGTGTGTGTCTGTCTGTTACTCTACATCTCACTTCTCGAATGTTTGTTCGTCTCACAAAGGATACGGCCTACTTAACGGGCAATGAAGGTCAGAAATTTCGAACGGTTTTCTCTGAAACTGCTCCGTTGCAAAGCTAGAGCGCGAAAAAGCCAACATGCAAATACACAAAGGACGGGATGGCTTACCACAGTCTGATCGATCCACATGCTCTGCGTACCTCGGAGGCACGAGAAGATGCAACGCAGGGCGTGTATCGCCTTTCGCATGCTATCTAGTAGTGTAGTTAGCCAGCGTCAGACTCTGCGAGCTGGCAAGAGACCACGAGTAACAGCTAAAACTAAACCCAGCCCATCAATTACTGGTACCGCGCATGCGTTTACTTACGCGTACAATGCGTGAGGTATGGCAAGTGGAAACCAAAAAATCAGCAACACTCAGGAGAAACTTAAAGGTGGGACTCGGCTCCATGTCACTCTGCAATCTAGTGCTCTACCACCTGAGCTGTCAGGGCAGCTCAGAGAAGTGTGCTATACACAAACAAAGGCAACCCCGTAATATCTCTGTGGAATATGTTTTTGTTCAGCATGCTAGATGAGTATTCCTTTTATGCCAAGGGTTTGCACTTCTATAATTTGTTTTCATCTTAATTTTCTCAGATATCGGATTAAGAATGATACTAAGCTATTTTACTTCCGTTTGCTGAGTCCAAACATCTCTCGTGGTGCTACTGACTACTATGTGATGATGCTCTTTTTTGATGTTCTCTGTATGATCACAATAGTATTTGGAGTTTCTTCTTTTGGAGTGAGTATCTTATGCTTATTAACCCTCGGCGCGCATGGGCAGCGAGGGTGACTGTAGTTAGGTTTGTCTGTCTGTCTGTTACTCCTTCTCGAATGTTTTTTCGTCTCACAAACGATACAACCTACTTAACGGGCAATGAAGGTCAGAAAATTTGTGCGGTTTTCTCTGAAAATGCTTCGTTGCAAAGCTAGAGTGCTCCCAGCATTGTACGGCTAATGCGTAGTCGGCCATTTTATCGCTGTGGAAAATGCGCATGCGCTTATATATAGCACAGGCTAGCTTACCTCGACCGGGTCCGCTTGCTCTGTGTATCTTGAAGGCACAAGGAGTCACAACGAATGGCATGTATTGACTCTCGTATGCTATCTACTACTGTAGCTAGCCCTTGTCAGACTCTCTGCAAGCTACTAGCGGGAGACCACGAGTAAACGCATACTAATACCATTAGCGGTACCGCGCATGCGCAGTTCGCCGAGGGTTTGCACTTTAGTGCTTTTCATTGTTTAATGTACACTATGCTAACAACACTTACATGCCCCTCAATTTATGCACATGAGTGGTTGTATATACTTATCACTAAGTACAGTAGTACTTAATATAATATAAGGATGGGCATATACGTATATGGTACCTGGCATCATAGATGATAAGGAAATTTTTTCATCTTCTTCTTCTCCTTCTTCAGATTCAGCACCCATAACTCAAAAACAAAACAACATGTAGTACATGCGTGTTTGATTGTTTCCATGACAACCAGAAGATTGGTTGAATGACAAATAGCCTCTGGCACTTTTCTTTAAAATTACGTCTTCACTCCTCAAACTTGTTAACAGTAGCGCACCTGGAGATGAAACTTTGTAATGCATGCTCATTACATTGTTTCCATGCCGACCACATATTGTTTCAACAACAACAAATAGCATTAGGAACTTTTCTTTAAAATTACTTCTCTACTCTTCAAACTTGGTAACAGTAGCACACATGGAGATGAAACCTGGTATGCAAGTGTATTATATCGTTTCCATGACAACCGAATGTTGAACAACAACAAAATAGCCGTAGGCACTTTTGTTTAAATGTGTTACACCCACTTATGCAGGCTCCTGGAATGTACGTATATAATTCTAGGAGCCTGCATAAGTGGGTGTAATACATGTACGTATAATAAAATTACTTTTAACTTCTCAAATTGCCAACAATCTATAGCATACATGGAGATGAAACTTTGTATGCGTGCGTATTACGTCGTTTCCATGGTGACCACATATTGTCGCAAATAGTCATTTTTCCCTATTGTAAATTTTTATAGGGGGCTTGCACCCTTTCACACACAGTAGTATCATAGCATCTAAAAATGAGTACAGACAAGTATATTAAAAGTCCTGCGAATTTAAAAAAAGAGGCATATAGGGATAAAAAACGAAGACAAGATGCGGATGGGATACATAAAGCATGGTTAATGAAGATTTTTTAGCACACTGACACCCCAACCCAATTACACAATCCGTATATTGTTGCCTAGGTGTATTAAGCATTCATCATTACATTGCCAGGAGCTTGAATATGCAGAAAGTCATGCTATTATAAGAGTCCAAATGGAGTTTAAGAGTGGCACACCAGGCAACAATATAAGGATCGTGTGATAGGGTAGGAGGTGTCATATATGTCCATTAACCATGCTTCACGTATCCCATCCCTATCTTGTCTCCTTTTCTTTTTATACCATCCCTATATGGCTCTTTTTTTAAATGCGCAGGACTTTTAGTTTACTTGTCTCCACTCATTTTTTAATACTACTACGTACGTACATACTTGGGTGTTGATTTTACTAGTACTGGTGCATGGGATGTGCATATCAAGAATGTGTTAGACAATGGGAGAAGGAAGGTTATGTCAGTTTAATTGATAGTGTATAATTAGTAATAGGGATAATTAATTGACGTGCTCGCAGGTTGTTGTTGTGGCGGTGGTTAGGCCAACTTTAGAGTATAGGGGTGAGGTGTGGGAAAGCCATAAGGACTCAGGCAATGCGTTAGAGTCCGTTATGCTGGGAGGAGCTAAGCGCATTCTTGGGTGTTGTCTTAAGACATGTAATGAAGCCGTTAGGGGGGGATATGGGGCTGATTACGTTTACAAGGAGCGAGGGATGGATAAGAATAAGTGAAGTGGTGGTATAAGTTTAGACGCCATTGCCAGGCATAGGGATACGAAGAAGCTTTTTAACAGGATGGAATTTTAAGACACGGAGAGTCAGGCAGAGGAAGTGTTTTGAGTAAGGTCATTGATGATCTTCTTTTCTGTCATTTGATTTTTATATTAATAATCATTATATTTTTCATTTATATATTGTACCTTGGTCTTGACAAGGGCAGAGTGGTTGCATTGATATTCAAAATGGGGATTGCCCCTTTGTCTATAGTAGGGTGACAGTATCTCAATGAGAGGAGATAGAAAGTTTGAAGAGGGGCTAAATAGCAAAGTAAAGCGTTATTGTTAAGACATTTAAACATGGTGGTAGAGTTTAAAGAACGTGCATCGGTAAAGTTTATGCTGGGTCTAGATACTGTTAGTCAGGTCAGGCACGCATGGGAATAAATGCGGAACTGGGTAGGCCGTGGGGGAGGGAGGGGATGACTGAAGGAGTGCTGTTGTGTGACGATGCGTGTGAATGAAAGTGTGAAGCTCATGTGTTGTGGGATTGTGTCCGGCATATGAGTTAGGAGCAATTTCTTATATTGACCTGCAGGGGAAGCTTGTGGATGATGGGTTTGAGATTTCCAGTCAGCTTGAGTAGTTCAGAAAGCATCCTTATATGGGTAATGGGCTGAGGGAGGATAAATTGTTCTTTGCTTGGCCTTGTTACGATTTTATTTGGGTATGTTTGGGAGCTAAGAAGGTTAGGTTATACGGCGATAGCCCGCGTTTACAACAAACCAGTCGTAGATTGCGTCTGGGGAGCTGCAGGGTGTCGCTGGTGGAAGGGGTGAGTTGAGGTGTCTGGGAGGTGAGACAGACACCTCATGTTCATATGGTGTATGTTCGTTTGTTAACGGTTCCGCCCATTGTTCTGGGTGCGTGGTCTATGGCCCTAGTGCTATGGCAGCCACCTGAGTATTATTATTACTACTACGTACGTATATCTCTGTGAAAAGGGGCAAGCCCCTATATAATAGAGAAAATGCCTGTTTTCGTCATGGATATTTTACATGTAATCTATAGGGATGGGCATGGTGCCTAGCATCATACGGTACCAGTCAAAAAAAATGCACCGTAGTTGTGTTACAACTCCAAAACTTAAAGGTGTTGCTATTGTATTGTACTCAGTGCTTGCATGAAGTTTTGGCCTTTTACGACCGGTACACATGTGGCGCTGTTTGGTTTAACCACTGTAGTAACATTACGTACAATCCTTGCTGTATGCTGTAGTGTTGCTACATAAGTGCATTTTATCACTGTAGGACGGGTAGCTACACCTCTCTGTACATTGTATGCACCTACCGTATGGTTAATACGTAGGTACATAGTACAGTCACATTTGGGTAGATTTTTGTTTCTCACTGTAGTTTATCTGTAACTACACACCTGTAGAAAGGTCTTGAAACAGTTCAGGAAATAGTAATTACTCCCTTTTTCATGTGTACATTGTGCTGTTGTGTAGATCTGGTTTCTACACTAAAAGCTGGAAATACGGTGCATTTTTTTTGACTGGTACCGTAGATGTAATGGGGCTATGAGGGAGTTTGTTCTCCTCCCCATCCTCCTCCTCTGCCTCCTCCTCCTCCTGTTTTATCATCAATGCCATTATTGACACAGCTGTCTTTGGGGAAGGGTAGGGCGCCACTATCCTGACCTTTTCAAACAGCACTGAGAAGGTGGACAATAATGTTGGGTAGAGGGGGGTAAAGGGAACAAGCCAAAGTTGTGCCCAGCTTGACATATAGCCTCTTGGAGTGAACATTGGAGAAAATGCTGTCATGTGTCTGTTTATGCTACATAGATATACGTACTGTGCAAGCACTGATTCAATTTTTGTGTAAAAACTTCTCTTTAGTTTTGACCACTTTACCTACCCCCTTGTTTCCATATTCAATATGTATGTAGGTTGGAATTGCTGGGGAAGGAGTTGGACAGGCTGCCACTTTTATTCAGAACAACTATATTCCTTTGCCATTTGTTCTTATGCTGCTTCTACATTTTGTATCAATGCTGGTTGACAGGTATGTGCAACAAAAACATGATACTGTTAAGGTTGAAATTGAATATTTAGTAGTAAAAAATATCTGGTACCCTGCATGATTACACATCTACAGGGGTGGTATATCTGGATTAGTTACAATATGAGTGAGGTGATGAGCCATCATAGAAATGTTTTCTAATGTCTATAAGTGTACTACGGTTTTTACATTTGGAAACCTTAACATGAAAACTGTGCCTCAGTGGCATGGCTTATTATACAAAACCACCCCATTTTCGATTAGTTCCTTGTATAATCACCAGAGTTGCTCTTCCTCCACAGGGCCATATACTTACGCCGTGCCTTGAAGTTAAAGTTTGCATTTCAAATCTTTCTTCTGATTGTGTGGCACCTGTGGCTGTTGTTTATATTACCATCGGAAAGTGTAACTAGAATGTGAGTTTTAAATACTCTTATTATAGCAATAAGTGCACCAGCTTCAAATATTGAAGTCTGTGGAGTAGCATGCACAGCGAGGGTGGTTCATTAGTGTGTCTGTCTCTCTGTCTGTTACCACGTTTTCTGCCACCATCCACAACGAGACAAAAAATAGCGATACCAAAAGGTTCGGCGCTACACTGGCTTGATTTTGGCGAATTTTGTAAAGGTGCTGCGTTCGAGAGATATGGCGTGAAAACCTAGTGATAAAGACCATATGCAAATTAGCACTGGCTTACCTCGACCTGATGCACTTCTTCTGTGTACCTTTGAGGAATCACAACAGAGGGCGCGTGTCGACTCACGCATGCAATCTACTAGTGTAGCAGGCCTGTGTACGATTCTCCGCTAGCTACTAGCGGGAGAATACGAGTAAACACATAGCCTAGCCCAGCCCATCGATAATAGCGACAAGGAAATAAAAATCCTAAAAGAGGCATATAGGAATGGTATAAAATAAAGGGAGACAAAATAGGGATGGGATACATGAAGCATGGTTAACGAACAGATTTGACCACACTGAAACCCCCGATCCCATCACACAATCCCTGTATTGTTGCTTGGTGTGCCACTCGTAAACTCCATGTGGACCCTTTGTTACTCAGTAGCATGACTTCACATTGTTATTGTAACTGTGTTGGTTACTCAGTAGCATGACTTTTTGTATTTTCAAGTTGTAAGTCCTGACTCTTGTAATATTGAATGTTTAACACTTCACCTAGGCAAAAATATAGGGATTTTGTGATGGGATGGGGGTTTCAGCGGGCTCAAATCTTTTCACTTCATGTATCCCATCTGAAGATGAAACTTGGTACGCATGCGCATGACATCGTTTCCATGACGACCACACATTGTTTGATCACCACCAAATAGCTTACTTCTTCACTCTTAAAACTGCTAACAGAAGCACACATGGAGATGAAACTTGGTACGCATGTGTATTAAATAATTTCCATGACGAAAACAGGCATGCTCCCTTTCACAGAGATATACGTAGTAGTATATAAAAATGAGTGCAGACAAGTAAATTAAAAATCCTGTGAATTTAAAAAAACAGATATAATATATAAAAAGAAAGGGAGACAAGATGGGGATGGGATACATGAAGCTGACACCCCCGACCCCATCACACAATCCCTCTGTTGTTGCCTGGTGTGCCACTCTTAAACTCCTTATAACGGTCCTGGTTACATGCCTTTTTTGTATTAAAGCTATAAGTCCAGACTATTGTAATGGGTAATGTTTAATGCGTCACCTATACAACAATGGTATTGTGTGATGGGGTCGGGGGTGTCAGCTTTATGTATCTTGTCTCCCTTTCTTTTTATACCATTCCTCTTTTTTTAATTCGCAGGATTTTTTATTTACCTGTATTTCTTAAGGGTACGGTAGAGTACTTTGTCAGTGTGTCAGAAGTTACATATTCTCCAACAAAGCGCAACAAGGTCACTGTGTATGGTTTGGTTTTACTGGTAACGTTTTAGCTAGTGTGTTTGCAGGCCAAAGTCCAATTAGTACTTGACAAGATGCATGCAAATAAATATGTAACGTCGTCCCTACCGCTCACTGTTCTAATCGCTCGGGGAGACGGCGCCTGACGCACGAGCGGCAAGTCTACATGAGAGTTTTCTGAAAATCATCTCTTCTCATCAGAGCTCAGACTCAGCTCTCATTTCAATGCACCGGTTAAATAAGGGGTAGTTACGTGTAGTTATGTAAGGGTTCAGGTGTTACATCTCCCCCTGCTGTCGGGTCACCGTCCTCGGAGGCCTTCTTTCTTTAAGGCGTCCTTCCCGCTTGCCAGGGCGAGGATCCATCCTTGGCTTTCTGCTCTTCTTCTTGGGCTTGGGTGGCGGAGTGGCATTATTAATACTAATAGTCCCTCCATCCCCGCTCGGTCCTGTTGTCAAAGGGTCTCGTGAAGTCCCTAAGGGGTCTGGGACGGTGGGAGCAGTCCTCCCAGCAGCTCGGGTGATGTCTGGTGACGAGTCTCCCAGTAGAGCCCCATCAGTCTCCTCTTTTTCTCCTGGAATAGCCTCCTGATCTTTGCTCTCGCGGACTTCTATTCCTCCCGAGGTGTCATAGGTTCTGAGCTCCTTCGGAAGTGTGTCGAGGCGTTAGCTGGGGATCCATGTCCGTCTCGCCCACAGTAACTGCTTCTCCATGTTCGCTCTCTGTCTCAGTAGCGTGCTGTTGTGGCGGAAGAACACTCCTGTCTTGAGAGTTGCTCGGAGTGGTCCGACTTCTCTTTCTGGATCCATGTCTGTACTAGTTAACCCCAGATCGTTTTCTGCAGGTCCTCCTGCATGGCCATCCACTGACTCGGATACTTCACTCTGATGTCTGTCAACAGCTTCACCCGGCTTCTTATTCTTCTTACGCCATCCATCTGCAGACCGGAACCCAGTACCAATCTCATCCGGACAACGTCGGAGTGTTTCAATTCCAATGGCTCCTCTTCTGGCCTGTCTATCCTGGTGATGGTAGCTGTGTTTGAGTCCATGTCAGCAATCCTGTACTGTCCATGAAATGGGCACGCAAGTTTCCTGGCTTCTCCCGTCTCCTCCACTGGCTTGTACAGAAAGACTCGTTCTCCTGGCCTAAATGGCACAGCTGTTGACTTCTTGTCGTAGTGGTTCTTCTGTCGCTCCTGTGCTTGCCCCACACACTTACGTGCAAGCTCCAAGGCAGTAGTTAACTTCTCGTGGAGATCAGTAGTGACTCGAGTCTTCTGCAGACTCAAAGCATCAGGAACAGGTAGTCTATGATCATAGCCGTACAACAGATCAAATGGCGATTCTTGCGTGGACGCGTGCTGGCTTGCCCTGTAGGTGAACAGAACATATGGTAGTTGCTCGTCCCATTCAGGTCCTCCTTTGGTGACAGTCTTCGGCAACATGGACGTCAGTGTTCTGTTGTAACGTTCCACTAAGCCATCAGTATGAGGGTGGTAGGCTGTTGCATTTAGTTTGTGGTACCCCATTAGTGTCTCAACCTCCTTCATTAACCCTCGCCTGCGTGCATGCGCAGCGAGGGTTATTGCAGTTGGTCTGTGTGTGTGTGTGCGTGCGTCTGTCTGTCCGTCTGTCCACCATTTTTCTCGGTAACCATGGAAACTCTGAACGTGAAACGTGGACATATTATCAAGTAGGAGGCATGCATGGTAAAATAAGATTCTGGAGCGGAGAAGGCCAGGGAAGCTGGTGAAACGGGTGGCTGTCGAGGTGAGTGTGCGTCAATTAGAGATCGCGCGAACGATCGCTGTGCTGGATGCTTTGATTGATGGCGAGATTGCCGCTGGTGAAGACAGCAGCACACACCCAGTGAGTGAAGGAGTCACTTATGTAGTGTAGCTAGTAGCTGAATGAAGTGGTGAGGGTTATGTACTGTCAAGTGCTTTCACTTTGCTGTAGTAGTAACTAGTATTGAACACGCATGTGGAAAAGACTGAGGTAGTGTAGGTAGTAGCCATTGGCTGCTGAAATAAAGAATAAAGTGGCGAGGGTTATGCACTTTCAAGTGTTTTTCATTATTCCAGAAAGAAAGGTTCGTCCACGGTCAGACAGTATCTGAGCAGGTACTCCGTGTCTATGGATCACTTCCTCCACCAGAAGCCTAGCGATAGTCGCCGAGGACTGGTCGGCTACTGCGAAGACCTCCAGCCACTTTGTCAGGTAGTCTAGAAAGATTACTGCATAGCGGTTTCCTCATCGAGTCCGTGGTAACTGGAGTACATCCACACCCACACGGTCAAATGCTCCGGCAACGGGGATTGGGGTGAGCGGTGGCTTCACCTTCCTCCCGGGCTGATGAGTAGCACAAGTCAAACATGCTCAAGTTCACTGAGTAACGTTTCCTCTCATTCCCGGCCACCAATAATGTTTTCGGAGCTCACTGTAGACCTTCACATCGCTCAGGTGGGCTCAGAAACGGCCTCCATGTACTTCTCCTATGAGTCTTTCTCTGAGCGACCGAGGTGGGATCAGGCGAAGGGTAGCATCAGGTGCCACTCTGTATAGGACTCCATCCAGTACTGTGTACTGCGAACTAGTGAGGGCGATTCTCTGAGCAAATTTCTCTTCTTGAGGGAGTACTCCGTCCTGTTGAAACTCTATGATAGGAGCCAGTTCTTCAACTTGGTGTTGCAGTACTGTGAGCCTCTCTTCGCCATCTTCAGTTTCAGCTCTGGCAGCTCGTCTGGTGATTGCAGCTACCACTTCCTCAGTCGGATGATGGTCGGTAGAGTCAGGTAATGGACAGCGAGAGAGAGCGTCTGCAATGAAGTTATGCTTCCCTGAACGGTGGACTATAGTGAGGTCTAACTCTTGCAAAGCCATCCCTTATCACGCGGGTTTTCCTGTCGGCAGTGGTGTGTTCAGAAGAGACTTCAGTGCTTCATGATCAGTGAACACGGTACACTTGTGTCCGTAGAGGTAGGCTCGAAAGTTCTTCACGGCCCAGACAACTCCAAGTTATTCCAGTTCTGTAATTCCATAAATTTGTTCGTGTTTTTGGAGCGATCGGCTTGCGTAGGCTATCCGATGCAGTTTCATCCGGTTGCTCTTGGGCTAGCACGGCACCAAGTCCGGTCCCGGAGGCATCTGTCTCTATTATGGACGAGCATGAAAAGTCAGGAAAACAAAGGACAGGTGAAGTCTGCAGTAGATCCTTCAGTTGCTGAAATGCTCACTGGCAGTCAGGACTCCACATGAAGCTTACGTCCTTCTTGGTCAATGCATACAGGGGACTGGCAACCTTAGAGAAGCCTGGAACGGAGCGTCGGTAGTAGGAGGTAAGGCCGAGGAAGGAACGCAGAGACTTCAGGTCAGTCAGTGTCGCATACTGGGCGACAGCTTCAACCTTCCTCCTGTCAGTCTCTATACCGGCTGCAGAGACTACATGACCCAGGTATTCCACAGAGAATTGTGCGATGCGACATTTCTTCGGCTTCAGTCGGA